GGCATGGACAGGACCTGCCAAAATGATCTCTTCCCTCTCCCATTCCCCCAGCCCCTGCTTTCTCCACGACCTGCCAAAATCTATATTTAGCGTATCTAAAACTCAAATGACTCCAGAATATGTACAGAGCCTTCATGAAGAACACGAGATTGGGAGTTAGACAAACCTCGCTTGGGATTCCAGCTCAGCCACTTACCAGTTGTGTGATCTCAGTCAAGACATTTAATTTTTCTGAACATCATTTTCCTTATCTGAGCATCTGAATGAGGAGGACAAAAATATCTACTTCACAGAGTCATCACAAAGAGTGTTTATTTTAGCTCAGTGCCTGGAATATAGCCTACAGAAGAATGCACCAGTATTATTATTATTGTCAAGTTTCCTGATCGGCCTTTATATGTCTACTCTCCTACACATACACATAGTTGCCACACAGGCAACCAGTCACGCCTACGTAATGGAACTTCAGTAAGTACTCTGAACCGATGAGGCTCTGGTGGGCTTCCCTGGTGACAATATTACATGTGTTACACCCAGGAACCGGGAAATAACACATATAAGACTCTGGGGAGAGGCGACCTTGGGAGCTCCATATTTAGTGATTTCCTGGATTCTGCCCTATGCTCTTCTTTCCTTGGCTTATTTTGCCTGTATATTTTCCCCCAAATAAGCTATAACCATGAGTGTAACCTCTTTTTAGTTTGCTTTTTGAGTCCTGCTAGCATATTATCAATGGCACCCCACTCCAGTACTCTTGCCTGGAAAATCCCATGGATGGAGGAGCCTGGTAGGCTGCAGTCCACGGGGTCGCTAAGAGTCGAACACGACTGAACAACTTCACTTTCACTTTTCACTTTCCTGCATTGGAGAAGGAAATGGCAACCCACTCCTGTGTTCTTGCCTGGAGAATCCCAGGGACGGGGGAGCCTGGTGGGCTGCCGTTTATGGGGTCACACAGAGTCGGACACGACTGAAGCGACTTAGCAGCAGCAGCTGCAAATTATCAAACCTGAGGAGAACTGTGTTCCTGCTAACTCTGCAGTTTCCCAAACTCCCAAGGAGTTAGCTCGAAACTTCAGCAATATCATAAATGTGATTTTTTTTTAAAGTGGTACTTTTTCCTCATCTACTATGTATGCACGTGAGTGTATACATTTGCGTGTCTGTGTATGTAATCCAGTTAACACACATATACCCCCTCCTCAATGTAATACAGTGCTTTCAGTGCTGGGAGAGAATCTCTTAAAAAAGGAAATTTTGGAAGCATCTTAATATTTTGTACTCCAAATTTTGAAAGTAGATCTTTATAAACTTAGAAAAATATGGGAAAATGAACATCAACTACTTAACAGAAGTAATCTTGGTGAAGTGGGGCGAGAGATGATGACAGCATTGCCATTTATTCTCTATAAATATATGTTAAGTGGTATGATTAAGAGTCATTTTTATGTTTTTCTGAATTATTCAGACTAATGAATAAGCATATTCTGGGCAAATCAGAAATATATGTGTGTATGAAAAATTTATGTATATTAGGAATTTAGAAATATAAGAATTTCACACTTATTATTTTATGGCCACAAGAAACAGAAAACAATTTATTTCATTTATACACATGGTCTTGTTACAGAGAAGAAAAACAGAGTGATCAAATCTTTTAAGCATAAAAACTTTTCTATCAGTATAAAATCCTGTGAAGGAAATATAATGAAAAATAAGATGCCAAGGAGAAAAAGGAGTGATATTAAGTATCCCACAGTAAAATACAAGCTCATTTTGGAATTTTTAAATGATGATGGCTACCAAACCCCTACAATATTTTGTATTTAATTATATTTAAAAAGAATGATATAAATTTTATTTTAAAATTTCAGTATTTACAGTATGGCAGAAGTACACCTCTTTAATTATTTAAACTTTTGTTGAATAATTTTATACATAAACTTAAAAGTTTGTGGAAGGTGTATATGATTTAAAAAATATTTTAAAAAAATATATTGAAGGCCACTCACATTCCGGGATCAGAGGGAAAAATGCAATACTATTTAATCTAAGCCAAGGATACTCTGCCACCTAGTGGTTTAGAAATTTTATGCTCAATCGAGTCCTTTTCTTTGCCACTCCATGGACTGTAGCCAGCCAGGCTCTCCCGTCCATGGGATTCTCCAGGCAAGAATATTGGAGTAGTTTGCCATGCCCTCCTCCAGGGAATCTTCCAGACCCAGGGATCAAACCCGCGTCTCCCCCGAGTCTCCTGCCTCTCCTGTATTGCAGGTGGATTATTTACTCGCTGAGCCACCTGGGCTTTGAAATGTTACTAGACAGGAATAAAAACCTCTCCTTAGGTCAGGCAAGACGAAGAACTGATTCATAATACACAGAATCAGGGAGATGAATTACTTGATGGCAAAATATGATACAGAGAAGAAAGCCAGAAAATTATCATTGGTAGTTTTTTATGAGGTGGGAAAATTTGTAAAATCTCTCATCTAAGACCAACTAATATCAGAAATACTTAAAATGATGGTTCATATAGTTTTCTTTTGTGAACTTGATTAAAGCAACTTTTCTCTGTTGTTTTATTGTGGAGAAACAAAAAAATTTTATCCATTTCTGTGCACCGTGGAAAATTAAAATTACCAAAGATTCCCTACTATATTGAAAAAGTATATATATAATTCTTATCACCTGCTTTCAATGCCTGTTGACTAATGCTGTTTTAATTTGTAAATGTTTCTATAAAAAATAAGTGAAAACAAAGAAATATGGACTTTGTCACAGTAAATCAAATAACTATATTTCTTACTTCTGGAAAATCATTCTCAAAATTATAACATAATAGAACTTCAAATTTATAGGATACATCATGTGAATTTATACGTTTTCTCCTACAATAGTCTCTAGATAACTTAGAATAAGCAGAAGGAAAAGTGTATGTCTTCAACAAGTAGCTTTACAATCTTCAATATTCAGACCGAACCACAGATGACTTCGGAACTCACCATCACATTAACAAAAGTGCCTGTTGACATGTATTTCTATGATGTCTCTGTCCAAAAATATTTCTACTTTAATTCTGTAAATAATGACTGGTTTTTGTAATTCCCTTAGAGGAGAAAGGAACTGTAAAAGCAAGTAGGATATCCACCTTCATTAAATACTTGGAAGTGGTTAAGAGTGAGGGAATATCAGATTGAAACACATTTGCCAAACTGACTTCTATTCCAGTTAAAGTGGAAGTGGGTCTGATCTTCTCTTATTATGAAATCTAAATGATCACTTCATGTCTTAGGACAAAAGGAGGATATGAAATCAGAAAGTCAGAAATCCAGCATAAACTTTTTTCTGTTTCACTAATTTAAAATGATTTTTTTTCTTTCAGTTCTTTGCTTTACCTTGGTTAATTTTTCCATTGTTTGGATTTCTTAGTGAAAACAAGAACTCTATTCTAGAAGTTGGTGGTGGTTTTTTGGTTTATTTGCTTTGTGTTTGGGGCTTGCATTATGGATGATTCTTAAAAGAAAAAGCCCAATTTATTTAGACATATTATGTTAATAAAATGGTATCTTAATATATGTGTATATATACAGTGATACATAGAGTGTGTGAATGTAAACAAGTTTTGAAGGTATAGCTCAGCATTAGATGGAGCTAACATTACAAAAATACACCTGCAAAAGTGACTGAGCAAATTCTGAGGAAGAGGAATGAAGATGACCAGTCCTACCAGATACTAAAACATAAAGGTATTGTAAGTAAAAGAGGCACGCTACACATGACTAGACACCTTAGCAGTAGTAGCAAGGTACTGCAGTGCATGTGGAAATTAGTGCATGATAGCATTGGCATTGTTGAGTGAAAAAAACAAAGCATAAAAAATATACTGGCACATAGCCATTTGTGTATGTGTTGCTATATAAAGGGAATGATATTTCTAAAATTTTAGTACATTCTTCTCTTTTGTCTTTCTGAGTACAGGCCTAGGACACCTAAGGTATCTACTTGCCCAGGATCTCCTTCCAGGGGTAGATGCTTTTGTGACTTAACCGATTACACTTTATCTTCCTCTTCTTCCAAAGGAGCAGATATTCCCATTATAGATGCTGTGGAAATGTCTGACACTTTCTCTCCTAGTCTTCCTTTCAGTTGTGGGTATCCATGTGACATGGTTATAGATAATATGAAATACAGAGAAATCTATTGAAACTGCTTCTGGAAAGATTTTCTTTTTTAACATGATAAAAAGGAGACAGACATGGAGAGATGTTTCTCCACTGTGAAAGCCCTCCCTTCTCTTGCCTTTCAACAGGGCTATCCAAAGTGATGTCCGGAGCAGCTGCAGCTACCCTGCCACCTTGAGGTGAGAAACCTGAGGATGAGACATCAGCATGCTGAGAATGGCAGAGCACAAAGTCTGGGCCCTGAGTGAAATTATAGAGTTGCCAAGCCAACTCTGGACCTCTTAACCCTCAAAATTTTTGTCTTGTAAGTTTATTAAATGCTTTCATTGTTTAAGTCGCATTTAGCTGGATATTGGCACTTGTGGCCAAAATCATTCTAACGTCTATGTTATGGAAGAGAATGCCTACAGAATGATTGAGGTAATGTGCCGTTACTAATAATAAAAAGCAGAATTTTGTTGAGAAAAGGGTGATTCAAACTCCCTCACCTGTTCCTCAAACATATCAGCACCCAAGGCCAAAGGACTGGTGTATAGTGAGTCCCCACACAGTGAAGAAGTTGGCGTGTCTGTCGGGGCAGTCGGACCGTGTGTTTGTCTTTTAATAAACGGCCTCTGCGGGGTGGGGAGGAGGTTAGACAAGCTCGGACGACAGGGAGGGCAGGAGGAGGGGCTGCAGCCCTTCCACAGTTCTCTGCCTGGACTCTGGGAGGTGCCCCGTTCCAACCTGGCAGAGCCACGCCAGGACGAACGTCACCGAGCTCGTGGTCAGGTGGAAGGTCTGACGCCAGGCTTAGCTTTGCCAACCTGTCTTTGGGCCTCACGTGCTGACAGGCTCCAGAGGTGACTGAGAACCCGGCTGGGCAGCCACACTGAAGCAGCTGCCAGGCAAGAGGGACCTGCTGCGGGGAAGGCTGCGGAGAGGAGGCTGAGCGGGGTCCACGGGCCTGTCAGCCAAACCCAGAGGGGCCATGCGGTCATCAGAGGCTGGACGGCGCTCACCTCGGCCCAGGGGAGCCACCAGGAGCCGGGCCCCGGCAGCACACCCCCGCCCCTCCGCTGACATCTGAAGGTTAGCCCCGACCAGAGGAGTGACGCGCGTGACCCAGAGGCAGGGAGCCAGAGGCCAGCAGGCGCACACGAAGTGGACCCCAGCACATCGGCTGAAGGTCTCATAAGCTGCTTGACCCTCATCTTGAAAGGGGCAGGGCAAAGGACAGGCTCTAGGGACACTGATCGTTCTCATCGAAGTCAGCCTGAAACCTCTTCTAAACGAGCAGCTTAAATTAGCAGGCAGACTAGGGCTTAAATGAAATTGGATCCTAGATTTTTTTTTTGCCGTTATCCCACGGGGTAGGGGTGGTGGAGAGGTGGGGCCAGGGCGGGAACAGAGGAAGGCCTGATTCATTACAGGCAAAAAAAAAAAAAAGCGTACATTTCATTGACACAAGCTAAATGTATGACCTTGCTACACATAGTATTTCATTAAAAGACCTAGAAAAGTGGCCCTGGGGGAGAGGAGCTGGGAGTCTGGGAGTGTAAAGGAGGAGGCTTACTTTCCTCTGAATACTTTTTGCAGTCTGAATGTCTTTCTGTGGCTATATTACTTTCTCAGTTAAAAACTAAAAGAGTGCTCAGTAAAAAACCAGGGAAAGTAAATGGTATGGGACTTCCCTGGTGGTCCAGGGGTTAAGACTCCATGTTCCCACTGCAGGGGACATGGGTTTGACCCCTGATCAAGAAACTAATATCCCACATGCTGTGCAGCGTGGCGCCCACCAAAAAAGTAAATGGCATGAAAACTGTAAATAGATAGTAGATAATGCATCATTCTTTCTCATAGAAATATATTTTAAAAGCCATAGTGAACCTGCCAAGAGATTATATGACTTGAAAACCACACCTAGCAGGTAAAACTAAACTAGAGGTGAAGGAGGGCACCATAAACCCTCATTGAGTCACCAGCGTGGGGAGGGACTCCTGTTTGCCACTCACTAACGAAGCTGGACACTCACCGGCGGGAGTGGTACCTCTAACCTCACAGGCTCGGGTGGAGGAGAGAGAGCAGGGTCAGCAGCATCAATGAACTCGGACACCACTCTCTTTTGGCTTAATCAGGGCAACCACTTACTAGCTGGTAACTCTGGGCGAGTTACTTAGCATTTCTTTGCCTCAATATCCTGGTATGTCAATTGAGAATAATAAGACTAATACAGTCACCATAGGGTTGCTGAACGATTCAGGGTAAAGCACTCAGAATTGTTCTTGGCATGAAGTTAACATCTGCTGTCACAGCTGCTTCTGGAACTGATTGGGGGTGGGGGTGGAAGGCGCGCAGTCTTCCACTTTCTAAGCTCACAGAAGTACCAGATCTTGGGATCTGCCATCACCCCAAGCAGCAGCCTCCTAGCTGGCCTTCCTGCCTCCAGTCTGCCCACCTCCGCCCTGGACGCCTGCATGCTGCTGGGTGTATGATGCTTCTAAACTGCAAATGTGACCTCACTTCCCTGTTCAAAATCAGTCACGTCCCACTGATTTATTTACTTATTTATTTATGGCTGCTCTGGGTTCTTCATTGCTGCGAGCAGGCTTTCTCTTGTTGCAGCAAGTGGGGGCTCATCTCTAGTTGCAGTACACGAGCTTAGTTGCCCTGAGGCAGGTAGAATCTTCCTGGACCAGGGATCAAACCTGTGTGCCTTGCACTAGCAGATGGTTTCTTAATCCCTGAACCACCAGGGAAGTCCCCTCCCCACTGATTTCAGAGTAAATTTAAACCTTTTGGCTGAGCACGCCGGGTCTTGCATTATCTGCGTGTGGGTTCCTCACTAGCCTCCTCTCCTGTCACTCCCACATTCACCCTCTGTCTCAGCCACCCCAAACCAGATGTCAGTTCTAAAATGCGGTGTATGTTTTCCTACCTCCACTTCTCTTCATGTGCTGTTCCTGAAATACTCTCCCCAGCCCCTTCTTTTCCTAGTTAGTGCATGCTCATCCTCTAAATTCAGTTTGTGTCACCTCGTCCAGGAAGCCTTCTTGGATCCTCCCATCTGATTTAGATGCCCTGCTCTGTGTTCCTGTAACTCTTTCATGAAGCCCATTACATGCTCTATTATAATTGTGTCTAAATTGTAAATTGTTTAAACACTGAATGCATTTTTGGCTTGGTCTATTTATGTTGGATTTGCAAATTTTATTTTATTTTTCCAATTAATTGAGCATATTCATCTAGAGCTCAGGGTGATTGTGCCCCCAGCTGCACCTGCCTTCTATTGCTCCAGGTAAGGGGCCTGGAGGCAGGAGCAGGATCCCGTCCCCACTTCTCAGAGCCAGGAGCTGCCTGGCTTCACTGGCCCCTCTGTGTCACACCAGGCCGTCTCCTCCCTTCTCTTGGCCACGCTACTGCCTCCCCAGGAAATGAAATATTGGGGTCCCCCTGCTCCTGGGCCCCCAAAGCTCTACGTGTTATTTCCTTGGCCATTCATGGACACAACAGGTGAGATGGGGTGATGGGGATGACCCTCATTGTGGACACTGCACTTATTCCTTAACCCAAGTCCTTCTCTATATTGACTGGGGCTGCATTGAGGGGCAGGGGAGGGTGCTGATCCCAGAGGAAAAGAACCTTCTGGGTGATTCTGGTGACAGGGACAGGGATCTTCTTGTCAAAGGTGACAGGGACTCAGCAGTGCTAAGTCCTCTCGACGGCTTGTATTACTTTGCTGAGCATCTAAATCTACAGTCCTAGTTACAGAACAATATTTTACAAATGTTACTGTGCATGATTCCATAAATTAACTTACATAAATGTATACATATTCCTCCTTAGTACAGATATTCTGCAGTCCAGTTTGGGATGCTTTTTTGTCCAAGGGATGTTATTTGGTCTTTTGGAACCTCACAGAACAAGGTATTATAAAGACATAATATTTTCCTACATTTTAGAAAACTGTGATCATTTATTTGTACATATAGGAACCAAGTTCCATATCAGTAATGTAAACTGACAAGGTCATAAAGTAGTACGAAGTGTGAACCAGTCTCCCATTTAACAAGAATTTCTGAAGTCATTTTCACTGTGCCTTAGAGGCCTTTGTGAGGAAATCACAGTAAAACATTGGGGATAATGTTTTATCCTCAAATCCTAACATGCGAAATGCTGTGTTTATGTTAGAAAGAAAATGCCAGAATGTACTGTAACCTCACACTTAGAGAAGAACTCCTACCTTCCAATCATAAACAAAACCGAAAGCATCAAGCAAGAGCTTCCTCCCAGAGCAGGTTTCAGTCATCTTTTCACATCAACCAAGGGACGTGCATGATATATCACAGGGCCCAGTCTCAAGTGAGGTTTGGAATTTCCTTTCCTGGTTCTAGCTCTTGGAGACCAAAAAAATAATCCCTTAGGTCAAACACACTGTCAAGCTTGACATCACTTTGGGCTGGAAATCTCTGGACTTTTCTCCCCATGATTCAAAACCAGTGCAGGTATGAAGACTGAAAATCATGCTGACAAGTAAATTAGGGAAAATGAGATATGAATAAAAAGCAAGTTGAGGGAGATGCTCTGTGTCCCTTTTCAAATGAAACCCACATATAATCCAAGACTGTGTGGTACACTTCTTGACAAACGTTCTGTTGTTTGGATTACTGCTCCAGAGCCCCAAGTCAGGAGGTCAGAAGCTGGCATCTCAATTCTATATATATGGGGTTTTTTTTTGTTTGTTTTTTTGTTTTTGGCTGTGTCTTGTGGCATGCAGGATCTCTGTTCCCTGCCCAGGGGTCAAACCTATATCCCCTGCATTGAAAGTGCAGAGTCTTAACCACTGGACACCAGGGAAGTTCCAGGAATATCAGTTCTAGCAACTACTAACCAGGTGTTTGACTCCGAGTCCCCTTCTGGGCTTCAGTTTCTCATAAATAGAAAGTAAAAAAAAAAAAATTACTACATGATTGCTCAAGGCCCTTGCCCTTAGCTCTAAAAATCACTGATTCTTTTTCCTTTTTTCACCAGCTCAGGAGCTATGTGTATTAAAAGTGTCTCTAAATAACAATAGGGCACATGGTAAACTCATAATACATGTTCCTTGAGCTAATTAATTAGTTTGGGCATTAAGAATAAGAGGTTCTTCCTTAGTGGTTATTTGCTGAATTATAAACTAGTGACATCTTCCTCTTTCAGACTAGGAGATGAGAAGGCTACATAACAGCCAGGAGCTGAACTAAAATCTCGCTGGTGCTTTGCTGGTGACTCCACTTTATTGGACCTGTGTGGCCCAAGAATCAAATTCCCACCAACCTAAAGAATCCTTTCATCCTGCTAATATGAGCCCCATGCCCAGAATGGAAAGTCTTGACCACGTGTGGAATGCATCTTCCAAACAAAATTGCAGAAGTATAATCCCTAACAAAGTACTGGGTACCTTCTGAACAAAGAAATAACCTGGAAGGGTGATCTTGTTTCAAAGATGAAATGGAATATTAGAAGACACAACTCTTTTTAACAGATACCTACTGAGTAGAAAATAAAAGTGTAATAGATTTCTCTCTTCATTTCATTTAAAAAGATGAATAAAATTTAAAAAAATAAAATAAAAAAGTTAAAAGATGAATAATTATTTTAAAATATTTTAACAGACCATGTGTCTTGATGTGGGGCTTGAAAAAAATATTATTTCTGTGGTAAGACCACATATACCCATATACACTGGCAACCCACTCCAGTATTCTTGCCTGGAGAATCTCACGGACAAAGGAATTTGGCTGGCTGCGGTCCATGGGGTCGCAAAGAGTCAGACATGACTGAGCAACTAACACACAATTATGGAGAAATACATAAAACTGCTCCTTCCTTGCCCTTAGAGCAATCATGTGTGTGTGTGTGTGTGTGTGTGTGTGTGTGTGTGTGTGTGTGTGAGATTTATTCTTGGCTCAAGGTCGAGATCAGAAGTGCAATATCCAAAAAAGTCATGCCAACATGTTCAATAATATAGACCTGGGGTTTGACACTGAATAGACTCCGTGACTCTACAATTTGTAACTTCTAATTCTCTCTCTGAGTCTGTCTCTTCTCTTATAAAATGGAAGAAATAACTTTCACCTCACAGGGTTGTTAAAGAGTAAATGCTACGTGCTTAGTCGCTCAGTCGTGTCCGACTCTTTGCAACCCCATGGGCTGTAGCCTGCCAGGCTCCTCTGTCCATGGAGATTCTCCAGGAAAGAATACTGGAGTGGGTTGCTATGTCCTCCTCCAGGGGATCTTCCCAACCCAGGAATCGAACCCAGGTCTCCTGCATTGCAAGCGAATTCTTTACCATCTGAGCCACCAAGGAAGCCAAGGAGTAAATGGTATGTTGTATAAAGAGCCTAGGACAGCAATTCAACAAATGGCTTTTATGAAATCTGTATTGAAGCTTACTAGAACTGGAAGAGGAATCTAACACAGGGCATGGCCAACAGAGGGGAAAGCTGAGAGGATATTACAAAGTAAGGCTAGGATTCATCCATTCAACAAGCATTCAGTGAGGGTCCACCGTATGCCAGGCACCACACTGGGCACTGGGGTCAGAAAGGAGAAGGGAGGAAGGAGATCAGAGGGCAGATGGTTCCCTACCCCTGGATCCTCCCTACTGTATGATCAGCGGGACATTTGCATACATTGTGATGGCTGGAATGTGGGCTACTTTAGAGGAATATCTATATTACTGCAGGTATGGGGGCGTGAAATAAGGAACCAACTGCCTAATAGGTGAGTGACCCCGGGCAAAACTGCTGACCCTCTCTGGGCTTCAGTTTACATCGACGTAAAATAAAGACAATCACTCGCTTCATGGTGTAAATTGTGATCATGACATGAAATATAAAAAAGTAGGGAGCGACCCTTCCAATGATAAAGTGTTATTAAAAATTGGTTATTATATGTCAATAAAGTGTAATGCCATAGATCCATGACACATTATATCTCTGGTTTGAACAGAGCTTAGATAGATTGTTTCCAGTCCCCTCTTGGAGGGTAAGGAGAGAGCCACCTACAGAGACAGGCTTCTGCTTGGTCTCAACTGCTGAACTGAATGAAATTCTCCCTGAGGATGAGTGGTTGGGTTTTTTTACAAGCTGTACTCATGTGGCCATGGAGACCAGGCCAAGGCTGGAGGGGCTTGGTACTTCCGCCCAGGCCTAGAGAGGTCATGCAGGGCAGGGTTCTCTTCCCAGCCTGCAACATCTCCCTCTCAAAATAGAGATAACACCACATAACCTTTGGAATGAAAATACTTTTCATTCCAGTCCCAAAGAAAGGCAGTGCCAAAGAGTACTCAAACTACTGCACAATTGCATTCATCTCACGCGCTAGTAAAGTGATGCTTAAAATTCTCCAAGCCAGGCTTCAGCAATACATGAACCGTGAACTTCCAGATGTTCAAGCTGGTTTTAGAAAAGGCAGAGGAGCCAGAGATCAATTGCCAACATCTGCTGGATAATAAAAAAAGCAAGAGAGTTCCAGAAAAACATCGATTTCTGCTTTATTGACTATGCCAAAGCCTTTGACTATGTGGATCACAATAAACTGTGGAAAATTCTGAAAGAGATGGGAATACCAGACCACCTGACCTGCCTCTTGAGAAACCTGTATGCAGGTCAGGAAGCAACAGTTAAAAATGGACATGGAACAACAGACTGGTTCCAAATAGGAAAAGGAGTATGTCAAGGCTGCATACTGTCACCTGCTTATTTAACTTATATGCAGAGTACATCAACTTGTGGATGAAACACAAGCTGGAATCAAGATTGCAGGGAGAAATATCAATAATCTCAGATATGCAGATTACACCACACTTATGGCAGAAAGTGAAGAAGAACTAAAGAACCTCTTGATGAAAGTGAAAGAGGAGAGTGAAAAAGCTGGCTTAGAGCTCAACATTCAGAAAACTAAGATCATGGCGTCCGGTCCCATCACTTCATGGGAAATAGATGGGGAAACAGTGGAAACAGTGGCTGATTTTATTTTTCTGGGCTCCCAAATCACTGCAGATGGTGATTGCAGCCATGAAATTAAAAAATGCTTTCTCCTTGGAAGAAATTAAAAGACACTTACTCCTTACAACCTAGACAGCATATTAAAAAGCAGACATTACTTTGCCAACAAAGGTCTGTTTAGTCAAGGCTATGGTTTTTTCAGTGGTCATGTATGGATGTGAGAGTTGGGCCATAAAGAAAGCTGAGCATGGAAGAGTTGATGTTTTTGAACTGTGGTGTTGGAGAAGACCCTTGAAGTCCCATGGACTGCAAGGAGATCCAACCAGTCCATCCTAAAGGAAATCTGTCCTGAATATTCATTAGAAGGACTGATGCTGAAGCTGAAACTCCAATCCTTTGGCCACCTGATGCGAAGAACTGACTCATTTGAAAAGACCGTGATGTTGGGAAAGATCGAAGGCAGGAGAAGTGGAGGAGAAAGGATGAGATGGTTGGATGGCATCATGGACTCAACGGACATGAGCTTGGGTAAACTCCAGGAGTTGGTGATGGACAGGGAAGCCTGGCGTGCTGCAGTCCATGGAGTCGCAAAGAGTCTGATACAACTGAGCGACTGAACTGAACTGAAACGCCTACCTGGATTTTGTTGAAAGAATTAAATGCCAGGATGGCTGTAAAGGCTTAAGTACAGTGTGCAGCACAAAGTCAGGGCTAAGTCACGTTTAGGAGGAGATCAGTGGCCTGCAGGGTGGCAGACTGGACAACCGAATCAAGGAACCTCTGGGGACCGGTGAGGGGGCAGTGTGTGTGTTTGTATCCAACTCAGTGCGACCGACTCAGTCGTGTCCGACTCTCTGCGACCCCATGGACTGTAGCCTGCCAGGATCCTCTGTCCATGGGACACTCTAGACAAGAATACTGGAGTGGGTAGGAGGCTGGATTTAGCAAGTTCGTGATGCGGGTATTTCCGCGTCTCACGGATGCAAGACAAGCATCCTGTGCGGGGCCGCAGAAACTCGGCGGCGCTGATCCTGGGATGCTTGTTGCACGCCAGTACCTCCGGGCCCGGGCTACCGACGGCCTCCCCCGCCCCAGGGAGGGCTGGGGCCACTGCGAGGCTCTCTGGGCACAGTCTTCTCCGGCTCGGGTCAGGCGCGCAGACCGCACTGTGGGAGCGGAAGGGGGCGCGCGCATCCTGGACCAGCGTTCCAGGCTGACCCGCGCTCCCCAGCGGCATGTCGGCGCCGCCGGGAGTCCGCGCCCTCCGGCCTCCTGGGGCTGAATTCCAGGAGCCGAGAAAGCAGGAGGCGCTGATTTCTCTCACCCGGCTTCTTCCCGGCCTCCCTTCGGTCCGCGCCGCGCGGCCCGGCCGCAGGTCCCCCGGAGTCCCCTCTCCTGTTCGGACGAGCCGGGAGGCGCAGGGCGCCGCTCCAAGCGGGGATCGGGTTGCCACGGCAACGTTCCAACCCCAGCATCCCCTCGCGGATCGCCTCTCCAGAAGCGGGAGGCAGAGGCCTGGAGAGGCGGAGAGGAGCCAAGCGTGCAGGAGGTCGGCTTGGGGCACCCCTGGCTAAAAGTTTGCCGCCCCGGGCACGAGTGCACCCCACGCCCTCCCCCAGGGAGATGTGGTCAGGGCACAGCAAGAAGGCAGCCATCAGAAACCAAAGCTGCTGACCTATTGGATTTGGGACTCCTACCCTCTAGAATTGTGAGAAAATCCATTATTTAAGCCACGCAGTCTGTGGCGTTAAGAATTTTGTAAGAATGGGGTAACAGTTGTATGAGGTCTCCCTCTAGTGGCCACATTGAGTAATGCTATTACATTCCAGCAATTTCCCCTGAGCGCATCTTATACATGGTAAGCTACACATATTTCGTCGCTGTGTCAATTCCTTATTCGTTTTACTTATTGTTTTCTGCAGCAGAGAATAAATTGGCATCACAGTCCAGAGAGATACTCAGTGCCTAAATAAACCAAGAGGGGAAACTTGGCACTCTCAGAACCTGGCAAAACCGTAGCCACCTAAAATAATCACCAGTATAGTGTTATTAGCACCTTGATATGTAACTCAGATACATATATCATGGTGGACATAGAATATTCATGGTAAAAAGAAATGTAAATTGTAACTTTCAAGGACATGAACAAGGAGGACAAATAGACATTATAAAATAAAATGGCAGAAATTAAAATCTAAAATATGTGTAGTGATTCCTTTGCAACTTCCTTCTAGCCTGTAACTATTTCAAAATAAAATTTCAAAAATACCAGTGGTCACAACAAATGGAAATGGATCCAGGCTCTCCAGCCAAAAGATAAAAGCATCAATTTAGACTTTTTTAAAAAAGGAAAAAGAAAATATATCTCAAACATACAGCATGGTTCAAAGAAAAGGAGTAGAAAAAGAGAAACTGGACAAATGCAAACCAAAGAAAATCAGCTATTGCTCTGTTACTTTAGGGGATAAAGAATTTAAGGCACAAATATCAGTACAGATAAAGAGGACCAAAACTTAATGATAAAAGCTAGATTCACCGAGAAGTTATAACAATTCAAATTTTGTATGTCTTTAAGAACAAAGCCTTAAAACATATAAAGGAAAAGTTGACAGGAGAAACTGACAAATCAACCACTGAAGTGGTGATGATTTTGCACAGCAGACGCACATTGTAGACAATCGTGTTTCTGCTAGTATATTTACTCCTACTTTATATGATGAAATTCCAACTACCTGCATTTCATAGTGCTCCACAAGAGTTAGGGTGGGTTCCAGGTGCTCCATTATTGACAAATTTAAGAGCTATTGCACTAGACAGGAAAAGAAAGATGAATACCATCACTTATACATGGGATCTAAAATAAGACCCAGTTGACCTTATTTACAAAATGGAAACAGACTCACAGACAGAGAAAACAGACTTGTGGTTGCCAAGAAGGAGGGGAAAATGGGGGAGGGATGGGTTGGGAGTCTGAGGTTAGAATATGCAACCCACTCCAGCATTTTTGCCTGGAGAATCCCCATGGACAGAGGAGCCTGGAGGGCTGCAGTTCATGGGGTCACAAAGAGTCAGACACAACTGAGCGACCAAGCGCATACACACACATATGCAAGCTATTACATATGGAATGGATAAACTTCAAGGTGTTACCGTATAGCACAGGGACCTATGTCCAATACCCTGTGATAAACCGTAACGGAACAGAATATATAAAGAATGTCAAAAAGAATATGCATTCTTATACACACACACACACACACACATATATATATATATATACAGATAAGTGATTCATATATATATAAAGCACTTTGTTGTACAGCAGAAATTAACACAACATTGTAAATCAATTATACTTCAATAAAAATAAATAAACAGAATGTCATACAGGTTCATTGTAAAAAAAAATAAATAGTGGATTAGAAACTGAAGTGCACTGTTTCCCTATTCATTTAACAAACATTTATTGAACAATTATTATGCTTAACACGTCATGGAGCTTATATGTTAAACAGAGTCATTTACTGCGCTTACTTAGTTTAGCCATGTAATGGAAAGGCATAAGGGATTCCCCTGGCAGCTCAGTGGCGAAGAATCTGCTTGCCAGTGCAGGAGATGTGGGTTCCATCCCTGGGTCGGGAAGATCCCCTGGAGATGGAAATGGCAACCTACTCCACTATTCTTGCTGGAAAATTCCATGGACAGAGAGGAGCCTGGTGGGCTACAGTCCATGGTATTAAAAAAGGTCAGACACGAGTTAGAGATTAAACAACAATACGAACAAGGAATGCATAAGCTGGAGTTTCCCAGAGATTTATGGAATAAACCACCCTGAAGGCCCTCCCTCCCCCGACTAAGTCTTCTGCATCTCCTTCTTAAAGAAATGTGTTTGATGGGATGAGCCACAGTGGTTTCCCAAATCATGACATGACTTTACTATATTGTCTTTTAAAACTAAGAAAATACAATTGTCAGTATAAACGTTGCCCCAGAAACTCAGCGAATTCCGTTCTGCCAAGCGGTGGAAGAAGTTTGGGCCCCCGTTTATTTCTCCACCGTCTTTGGATGGATTCCATCTACATTCCAGGGATGTCTGACGGTAGCGCCAACGCTGGGGAGGAAGGGCATGTAGCCTGGATCTCCCGGCGCGGGCCCCAGCTGCCAGGCCCTTTCTTATTCCCTTCTGGTCTCCTGTCATTGCCCCATCAAGGTCATGCCCGACACTCGCCTCATTTACAGCCTCGGGGCTCTTCGGGTCTGGCTCGGCCTCCGCTGACTTCGGTGTCCTTGGTTACAGAATGTTCTGGGGCTGCTCCCACACCACGCAGGGGCAGGAGGAACACGCTGGGGTTTTCTAGAGTCCTTCATGCATGCAGGCTAACCTGCAGGGGCCTGGAATGTGTTCTCCTGTTCCGTTTCATGCTGGATGAACTCTGCAAGGCTGTCTCTGACCTGTATCCTAAAACTCCGCCCAGCCACGTCTCCCTGGCTGTTCGCTGCCTCCCGGGACTGGGAAGTGTACAGGGCCGGGTCTTTTCAAGACCCAGATGAATATCTCACTCCTTGTCTTCTCTCTAGAGCCTCCTTTCTCCCCAGGTTTGGGAACTTGATATAATTTTTGGAAAGGTGTGGGATGGGCAGGAAGTTCTGCTTTCCCTTGAATAGTCTACCAAATCTCCCGTGTGGATGCAATTTCTTTCTCTTCCTTGGGAAATCTGAATGTTAACAATAGACTCCTTATTTTCTTTGCTTTCTGAGTGTTTTCTTTTTTGGAGGTAACGACGCAGAATGTCTTGCTGACTGAAAAAGGAAAGGGTCGGGGGTAAAAGCAAGCATATGGAGAAAAAAACTTCCTATATTAAAATAGCAATATATTGCTATTCAGTAGCACAGGTGAACAAAAAAAGGTCTCTTGGATAACATTTATTAAACACTGATTTAAGTAATAACAGGAATAAAGCAAGTGTTATGAAAAAAAAATCCTAGGATAAGGAAACACTAAATACTGGGGAAATCAGCTCAAAATGTACTTAGAAAACCATCAAGTCAACTCCAGGTGAGTAGCGGCTTTATTCATAGAAGCCATAATTTGGTGAAACCAGAAGTCAGTGAAAAATGAAGTGTGGATGGTTATGGTTGGAAGACACTATTACACAATCATAGAAATAAGTTTAACTGTACTACAGAAGACCGAAAATGCTTACTGGGGTCATGGATAAAGCAAAGGAGGGGTACTACGATTGGGTGGGTGAAAAGAAATTATGGATCTCTTTAGCAAGGGGATATCCACCCCTGCTAGTGTGGGACAGGCTGCCGGGGCCAAAAGCATGCAGGTTCCCTGCCTTCAGCAATTGCTAAGCCAGCTTCTGCAGCGGGGAGGGCCTTCTGGAGAAGAAATCCCTCTAAACATCTTTTTTCATGATTCAGGGGCTCCTCTGCCTCCAAAATCACCTCCTTTAAGTAACAGTGCCTGGAACTTCCCTGGTGATCCAGTGGTTAAGAATCTGCCTGCCAATGCAGGGAGCTCAGGGTCACTCCTTGGTCTGGGAGGATTCCACATGCCTCAGAGCAACTAAAATTGCAAGCCACAATTACTGAGCCCGGATGCTGCAATTACTGAAGCTTGCACGCCTAGAGCCCATGCGCTGTGCAACAAGAGAAGCAATCACCAGAAGCCTGTGCTCTGCCACAAAGCTTAGCCGTCACTCACTGCAACTAGAGAAAGCCCATGTGCAACAATGAAGACCTAGTACAGCCAAAACAAGTAAATCAATAATTGTTTTCAAGTTAGAATGGATTAGGAAAAAAATAACAATGCTTAATATCTTTATAAACAAAACTTTTGTGTCAGAAGCATTCCTAAAATGTTAAGAACACAAGTCTGAGTGGGGTAGCACATGAAAGTCATTCATTCACTCAGAAATCCCACTTGGATCTTGTCCCATGATGTCGGAACAGCCTTGCAAGCAGCACATGTCCATTTATTTGTGTCTGCCAGATGAGCTTCTCCAGGGCAACAGTCTTACCTTTCTGATTTTTGTATCACCAGTGCCCAACCGTATTTGATGTCTAGACTAGGCATGCAAAAATGCTTGCCGAAAGATGAAAAGGAAGTGAACTTGAATGAATGGTGTGTGAATAGTTCAGGTAATTTCTGTTTTGTCGGATGAAGGTAGGAGGAGAGTAGATACCCAAGGGAGTTTATCATTAAAGTGTTAGACATTTCTACAATGAACGAATGGGTTAAAAAAAAAAAAGACACATTTTGTAGTTGCATAATTTTCTTGGCAGGAGCTAACTAGGAACTGGTGGTTGGACTGTTTTGCATGAATACACATGATTTCTGAAGGCATGTGATGTGTGTGTGCTCTTCATTAAGGGCTTGACTATTAAGATTCTTATAAAGAGTTTGTTAATTAAGGTATTGTTCTGATTAATGGAGCTACCCTAAGTGAGAATGGTAGAGAAATAATGCATTTGTTTTGTTTGGTCTTTTTGAACCAATGCATCAAAACATGACTATGAAATTCTACTAAAGACTTTCAATTGAAACTCAGCAATTCATGTATGGTCTTATATGGTCAAAAAATAAATTTTTAGAATTCATTCCTCTTTGCTTAGGGCTGAAGTTTACCACATGAACAAATAGTAATAGTGGGTTCTAATCCCTAGTGGTTTCAGAGATATACCTACACACAGGCAATTCATTAGCCCCATCATCAGCAAGTCCTTAAGTGTTTTTGTTTCTAGTGTCCTTTTCCTCTTTAGTAGCTCCCAGACTCCAGCTCCAATTTGGTAAAAAGAAAAGACTAATTCTTTCAAAGCTGCCACTGGGACTTCCCTGGTGGTCCAGTAGTTAAGACTCCAGTGCTTCCAAAGCCGGGGGGGGGGGGGGGGGGGGGGCGGTGCTTGGGTTTGATCCCTGGTCAGGGAACGAAGATCCCATGTGCTATGTGGTGTGGCCAGAAAATTAAAAAAATATATATTATATATATTTATATTATATATTGTATTTTTATATTATATATTGTATTTTTATATTATATATATATAAAATATATGTGTGTGTCTGTGTGTATAAGCTGCCACTAAAATCCAAAAGACTCTCTCAATACCCTACTCTCTTTTCTATGCAATTGTCCCCCCACCCCACCCAAATCTCCAGGATACCACGCCACATTTGAAGGCAGACTTTTCTCTCTTATCTCAGATGCCATGTCCATCCTCAGGCTGGCAGAAAGCCACCACGTACTGGGACTGGCGGGCAGACACGTGTTCTGCTGAGCACCATTCTCTCCCCTGCCTCTGTAAAGTGATCCCCAGACCTTGTGACCACAGACAGCTCATGCTCCTGGGGGCATCTGAGGCCTCCCTTTTCTGAGAAAGTCTATGGAGGGAAAGGACAGTATGTGGATTTCCATGGAAAAGCCCCTGTCAAGGATTCTAGCTACAGCTCCCCTGAGGTGACAGGAGAATCTGACAGAAGCCAAGGAGAAATATGGTATCTCCCACTTAGAAAATACTAAAAATTCTGATCGGTAAAATGAAGTGTAATGAAGATGATAAAACTTCCTGAATTGATATGCTAATTTAACTTAAATGTCTGTTATGTTTAAACAATTGAACACCTTGACAGTAAAAATAAATCCAGGCATATAGGCAGATAGAACTTTTTGTGTTTTAAGTGGCTGTGGAATCACCTATAAATGTCTGTTATGTTTAAATAATTGAACACCTTGACAGTAAAAAATAAATCCAGGCATATAGGCAAGATAAAACTTTTTGTGTTTTAAGTGGCTGTGGAATCACCTATTAGGTTGTTCTTAATAGACTGATGTTAAAAAAAATAGTTGTTTTTAAAGACTGATGTTCAAATAAATAAGTGACTGTATGGTGATTTCCTAAATTAAAGCTATTATAAGCACTTATACAACAAACTAGAATTAGTAATATAAGACAAATAATGGGGAAGAGAAAATACCTACCTGAAAATCAGTGCTGGGTTACCCAAGAATGGTATGGAGAAAAATGAAGTTGGATTATATCACTTTATAATATGTAATGTAGTGTTATATTTTAAAAAAATGACTACCAAAAGAAGTAGAAGAAGACAGGCTAATTATGATTTAGGGCAAACAGACTAGTATATCTTCAAAAGAGATACATTCACACCAGAACAGGAAGTATATCATCATATTCTGAATCTGCTCCTATTTAAATAAATAACATGATTAAAATAATGCAAGAAATAAATATTTTAAAAAATGAAAAATGCTCAAAACATATTTATTGTCCCAAATCTATAAAGAATAGTTGTAAGTATAAATACTCTGCTTTCATGCCATAAGTGGTCAAGGAAGATTAAGAGTTTAAACAAAAGACAAATGCTAGCAAACTAAGTTGAATCACGTGGAATATGTATAGGTTCATAGTAATAAAACAGGTGCAAATTAGAACTCATAAAATGTCACAAATAGCAAAAAGATCCTTTTTTTTTTTTTAAGTCATTGTTGGTGGAGGATCTGTGGGAAATGAGCCTGTTTACATAGCTGGTGGATTCCACATTTCTCCTTCCTCTTTTTTTAAATTGAATTATAGGGAGGCCTGGCATGCTGCAGCCCGTGGAGTCATAGTCAGACACGACTGGGTGACTGAAGAGCAATGTACTTGATGTACAACATTATATAAGTTTCAGATGTACAACATAGTGATTCACAGTTTTTAAAAGTTATACTCCATTTACAGTTATTATAAAATATTGGCTATGTTCCCCATGTTGTACAATATTTTGTAGCTTATTTTATACATAATAATTTGTACCTTTTAATCCCTTACCCCATCTTGCCTCTCCTCCCTTCCCTCTCCCCACTGGTAACCACTAGTTTGTTCTCTATATCTGTGAGCTTGTTTCTTTTGTGCTACTTTCACTAGTTTGTTGTAACTTTTAGATTCTACATAAAAGTCCTATCGTACAGTTTTTCTGAAGAACAATTTCTCAATCTGTAGCCGAAGCTAAAAAAAGTTTTAAAATGTTCAATCTATTAATTTCATTTTGGGGATACATGAAAAGGGAAAAAAATTGAAGGGGAAAATAAAATCTGTGCAGAAGTATCTGTATAGAAGCATTACTTTTCATAATAAAAACAAGAAACATCTCTAGTGCATAGTTAGAAGAAAATGGTTTAGGCAGCTGCTCTATATTAACAGAAGGTAATTAAGTACACTATTTAATTAAAAGTGACTAATATGTGGATTGTGTTAATCCATGGAAATCTACATGTGAAGCTGTGATAAATCATAAACAAATATGTTCTTGGCTGAACTTATTTCAGCCATGGACGTATTTTGGGGTTCTTGGGGACTGAGCCATATCTTGGGGACTGAGCCATATTGAATCCACAGGGACAAACTTAGTTCCTGGTACTCAGTAAGTGCTCAAGTATTTGTTGAATAGATGCATAAATGACTTTCCTGTTTATGCTGAATTCTTGACCTCCTGCCTGACCTTGGTAAATGTGCACTTTCATACAGCTCACCTGGGTTTCTGAACCCTGCTCCATCCTCAAATAAATGTGTACCCTTTATGGTGCTGGCACCCAGCTAAGTGACCTCTGCTCTACTGAAGCTTCCAAACCCAGGATGACACATGGCTGCAGCTCACTCACTGCCTAGCATGATGTCTGTCTGCACCAAGCTCATGAAAAAAAAAAAAAAAATGAATAAACTTTGTCCAGTGTACAAAGGAACATTAACAAACATGGCAAGAGATTGGATAGTGAAAAGAGTTTAGATCAATCATTCCAGGGGAAGGAAGAGCTGTATTTGAAAAGCTGTATGATTCTATGAACTGTCAAAAAATAAGGGAAATCAAAGTTCATACTAATGTATTTTCTTAAATACAAAACCTAATTGCAACCAATTCCTAGGACTAGATAGAATATACCTCCCCAAAGCCAGGTGTCTATTAAAAAAAGAGGCAAAAGCAGTTAAGCATTCGACCTTCTCTTACTTAACATTCCCCAGTCATCCAGCTACTCTGATGGGAAGGGTAACAGCACCGACTCTCAAGAAGCTGCCAGCTGCCTGTGAACATTCTGCCCAGGATATTTGCTGAGATTCTATGGAGAGCAGAGTGGAACATTAAACCCTTAAGGGATTAAAAAAAGAGAGAGAGAGAGACCGATAAGGTCCTCGTTATTTGAGTTATCAGGGGCTGTGTATCATGGGGTGACAGGCAGATCCAACAGACAAACGACACACACACATACTAAATACTTGCTAAATAAGTGTTCACCTAGTGGCCCCCCTAAACTCGGCCTGTCCTGGTGGCGCTGAGTGCCGGGCACAGAAACACTTGCTAGCGGAATGAATGATTGAACGATTTGAATGGACAGAAGAGGGATTCAGCAGGTTGCCACATTAGATGAAGCAATCACAGCATCAAGTGACTTTAGTGTATTTATTCTGGCGGATCTTAATTTGTCTGTGAGCGCACACCACTCTTTAAGGGCCCGCATACAGGCAGGGAGCTCTGGGGAGGGACACAGTTACAAAGAAGAAGAAAAGACAGCCTTCCACGCCTCGGCCGGGGGCGGGTCGCGTGCAGACCCGGGGTTAAGGTGAGCGGGGCTGGAGGCCGCGGGTCCCGTGTCCGCGTCCAGGTCGGCCTAGGCCTCCTGTGCTATAAATACAGCGGCCCACATGTTGCAGAGACACGGTGTTCCCTGCGCTCGCGGGACAGATAACATGAATTTGCCCTTTAAACGTCCCAAGTAAAGGCACAGCCCCCAGCCCACCCCTGCCCCCCGGAAGCGCCTTCGCCCCCGTTGCCCTCTGCAGAAGAGGGGGCGGGCCAGGAGGCGGGACTCCGCGCACCCGCCCAACCAATGAGAGGGGCGCGCGGGGCCCCGGGGCCCCGCCTCCTCTCGCGATAGCCTGGGCGGGGTATATAAAGCGGGCAGCGGGGCGAGGTGTGTGGCCCCTTCGCGTCGCGCAGGGTCTGGAGTAGGGGAGGTCGGGGCTGCCCGGGCGGAGAGAGCGAGAGCGTGTCTCGCGGAGGCGGTGTGCGCCCGGCTGTCACCATGAGCGATCAGGCTCTGAGCTTCCTAAAGGACTTCTTGGCCGGCGGTGTGGCCGCTGCCATCTCCAAGACTGCTGTCGCGCCCATCGAGAGGGTCAAACTGCTGCTGCAGGTGAGGACCTTGCGGGCGCGGGCGCGGCGAGCGGGGCGCGGGAGCGCGGGACCGGGCGCGCGGCGCCCCGGCCGTCCCCCAGATCCGCGCTAGGCCCCGGGCCCGGCGCACAGCCTGCGCGAAGGGGAAGGTGCCCTCTGCGCAGAGACAGGTCCAGCGTCAGTAGCGGATTCCTGGTGTCGGGTGGCGCCCCGCGTGCGGGTGTCTATATATGGAAACCCACCCAGAGTAGGTTGCAGCCAGCCAGATCCTGCTCCGGGGACAGCGCAGGCACTCAGGCCTCTTGGGTCGGCCTCACCTCTTGATTTTCAGAGCCCCTTGCACCCTCTTCTCAGCATCCACCTTTTACGATGAACAACATCGAAATAATTATTACTCAAGATTATTACAGTGTCCAGTGCGCCGTGCTGTAGCCGACATTATTCTATTATTCATTCATCTTTGTATGACCTCTGTAAGACAGATGCTGTTTCCCCCATTTTGCACATAAAGAGCCAGGTCTTGAGAGACCATCACTTCTCAGAATAAACTCAGATGGCCGTGTTCATCCTTTCCCCAAATCTTTTCCTCCCCAGCCCTGATCTCTGAATGGCTTGTTCTCATTATCTCACCCCCCCCTTTTTTAACTTGCCCAAAAAGCAAGGACCCCTCCATGAAGAATTGGGCATTCTCAATTTGGGAGTCAAAATGATCAATAACAAGAAAAAACCCCAATGGCCCACAGCAACAAACCCCTCAAAAATTGATCATTTGGATATGCTTGGAAAATGTCAGGCTCCAATGCTGAGTGGATTCCTTCTTCTGTTAGAACACCTACTACTCAGAGACTGCGTCTCCAGGGAGACTAAAGAGAGACTGAGGAATCCTCACCTCCTGCCCATCCTATCTGTCAGATCAGAGCAGGTGTCCTTTGGGCCAGGGATCTTTAATTATTTCTGTCTCCCAGTAATAAACCCCTAGTACAGTTCTGGCACCTAGGGAAAATGCAGCAAATCAATGTCTCCCTTTATGTAATCAAATCATCCTTTTCAGTGTATTTTGGAGCAGAACTGTTTCTCTCAAATGCCCTGGTAATCGAGGCAAAACTGGGTTTAGGGGACTTAGTGTCCAAGTAGCTAAGACTTCAGTTTGCTCAGTGTTCATTTGGTTTCCCCATACTTTTTAAACAAGGAAGTCAGGAAGCTCAAACCTCCTTGTTCTCCTGCCCTCCTCTCTCGGCCCTCCCTGTCCCCCTCATCTCCCTCCTCCCCCACCCCTCTCCCCGCTGCAGGTCCAGCATGCCAGCAAACAGATCAGTGCCGAGAAGCAGTACAAAGGGATCATTGACTGCGTGGTGAGAATCCCCAAAGAGCAGGGCTTTCTCTCCTTCTGGAGGGGTAACCTGGCCAACGTCATCCGTTACTTCCCCACCCAAGCTCTCAACTTCGCCTTCAAGGACAAGTACAAGCAGATCTTCCTGGGGGGCGTGGACCGGCATAAGCAGTTTTGGCGCTACTTTGCCGGTAACCTGGCCTCCGGTGGGGCAGCTGGGGCCACCTCCCTCTGCTTCGTCTACCCGCTGGACTTCGCTAGGACCAGGCTGGCTGCCGACGTGGGCAAGGGTGCCGCCCAGCGGGAGTTCACTGGTCTGGGCAACTGTATCACCAAGATCTTCAAGTCTGATGGCCTGAGGGGCCTCTACCAGGGTTTCAATGTATCGGTCCAGGGCATCATTATCTACAGAGCCGCCTACTTTGGAGTCTATGATACGGCCAAGGGTGAGAGAAGGGCGTCGGGGGTGCAGAGTGGAGGAGGGTGTGTGCAGAGAGGATCCTGAGGGCTGTCTAACTCATAAAGGACTTGGTCTTGTTAATCTCACTTTCACCTAGCCCCTGGGCTAAACTGCGGAGGTGGTGAGGTGGGGATCAATAGCTGGAGGACTCTCCTTGTTCTCTCCTGAACTACCCTGGCCTTGAGTTACTCAGAGAGGGCGAAGGGGGTGCCTGGCTCCTTTTATCAGTTACCAAGTTTAACTTGGAGCCATTTCAACACACCCTGTGTATGGGGGCACGGCTCGGGTTTTGTGGGTCCGGGGGGGGGTGGCAGCCCCAACTTGTGTTGGCTGCTTGGTTACTCTTGAGGCACCCCTTGCGGGGCGGGCTCTTCTGGAAGGGTGGGGCGTGAAAGTTGCGGTGCCCTGCTCTCCGTCCCCACCTGCTTTTTGCTCAGCTGCTCAGAGAAGGAATCACGTCATGGCCATTTGGCTTCTTGGCTCTGCCCGCAGGGATGCTGCCTGACCCCAAGAATGTGCACATTATCGTGAGCTGGATGATCGCCCAGACTGTGACAGCGGTTGCCGGGTTGGTGTCCTACCCCTTTGACACCGTCCGCCGTAGGATGATGATGCAGTCTGGCCGGAAAGGGGGTAAGCCCAAGACCCACGAGAATCTTACTTTTCTGCTCAAGGAGAATGCCAGTCAGTGCTCTGTACAGCCTGCATTCTTCTAAGTTGTTAGAACTGAGATAAAAATTTAAGAAAGACTGTGATGAATCCTCCCTGATGTTCTAAACTATTCCTTTAAAGATTTGGTTTGTTTTTATCAAAGAAGTAAGAACACCGAAAATGGGATATGGTTTGGTTCATCTGGTTTGTGAACTTAACTAGGTAGCTAGCATCATAGAGGCCTTAGGCCTTTTTCCCTAAGGAGCCTGGGTGAAGTGCTTCTTATCTAGTTTTACAAGCATTATTGGGAAGAGTGATTTAGCTGGCGGAGAGATGGCCTCCAGCAGTTTGTGGCAATAGGAAAAGTTTTGGCTTCCATAGGTTGAAACATAAGAAATTCCATTGTAACAGTAAGAAACACTGAATATATAATTAATTTCATCTGCTTCAACCTAATAATTCTATCTCTTGCTTTGTAAGAGTATAATCTGAGATTGCATCTCAGTTTTCTCATCAATAATAAACAGGACCCCCCAGCTTAATACTTCTGCTCCCCCCTACTTCCTGATTCTCTGTTTGACTTATGTGAATTAGCTGGTCATTGCCCCAGTTCTTCACTTGATCTTGAGTTGAAGATCTAGAGACCCCACCCAGAGGTTATGCAAGGGGCAGGGCTGTCCCATTGAATGTGCTTAGAGCTGGGCAGAAGACTCAAAGTGACCTTTTATAACAGAACAAACTGTGCAGGTGTCTTTCAGAGGAAGTCTCTTTCCTCCAGGATTATGGAGCCCTTACCAACAATGTTTGTTTCCACAGCGGATATCATGTACACTGGGACAGTGGACTGCTGGAGGAAGATTGCAAAAGATGAAGGACCCAAGGCTTTCTTCAAAGGTGCCTGGTCCAACGTATTGAGAGGCATGGGCGGTGCTTTTGTATTGGTATTGTATGATGAGATCAAAAAGTTTGTCTAATGTGATTAAAACTCGAGTTCATTGGTTCCAGATCCATTGTGTGGTTTAATAATAGACTCTTCCTAAGGGGAAGTAAAAAAGAAAGATCTGGGATGAAACCAGATTGAAAGGAATACCTCAGAGGGGGGGAAAAAAGCTTGAGTATTCATTAAACCACAAATGTATTTTGTATTTATTTTACATTTAAATTTCCACAGCCAATAGAAAATAACTTATCATACTTATATAATTAACTGAAGAACTGATCATGAATAACTTAATGTGAAATGTCAATAAAGACCACTTAATGCATGTTCTCTATTTTACTGAATTCTTATTAACTGCCAAATGGATTAAAATCATAAGACCATAAATCTTATTTTTTAGCATGACTCATTTATATAACTCAGAGTGACAAGCTTCTAAATATCAGATATTACACTGTGTTATCACGTGAACACTTAGCGTACTTCAGAGTTACGGTTTTCAAACTGAAATAGGTTATGTTCTCTCTTCATGTTACACCATACTGCTGTAGCCTCAGTGGTAACATGGATTGTGGCTTCCATAATCTCACCATTTTATGCACTTTTCACACAGTCTTCAGGAATTGTGAGATTCCACTAAAAGCTTTAAATCACAGTTTCAGGAGCTTTGCATGGTTAGGAAGTGCTATCAGTGCCTTTAGAGAACTGTGCTACTTGGAATTTTATGACAGGTGGACAGTAGTCATTGAAATCAGTTAGTAAGCCAGCACTGAAATCCTGTTGGATCCTGTGGAAGATGCAAAAAGGCAGAAGCCCATTGGGAAAAAAAAGCTTAAGTGGGATTAAGAGAGAGGAGTGACATGGCGTTGTTAAGTAGTGTACCATTTAATATCAATACAGTGAATCTTGGCTGGGGAGAACTAGAAGCCAGAGGGAACTTGTGGGGTGGGGGGGGGCGGAAGGATAGAAGATAGGCCTTGAAAGAAAATAAGTAGACTTAGATACATGGGTATAGAGAATATCTGCCAGCACTTCTTTTCTGCAACAATTTATGAAGACCTGGAGGAAAGGTCAGTTTGGGACTTGACTCTCTAAGTCTGTGAGCAAGAGCAAAACAAGGACAATTCCACATTGGAAAGTAAGCTTTGGGTCCAGAAGACCACACGGTTCACAGGGTCCTTGCTTGCTGGGAGTGACGTGCGGACACGGGCCCCTATGTGCGGGGTGAAGCCTGGAGAGCAGGCACGTGTCTTCAAGGCTCTTGACAGGTGGCTGACGGGCAACTCTGCACGCTGTGTTCTTGACCTGCCTCCTTCCCAAGCTCTTCCGCCTCTTCACTCCTGCCTCCCTGGTAAAAAAAAAAAATGGCTGCCCTGTTCTACTCCAGTAGCTAAGGTCTGAGTTTTGCCACATCCAAGTTTACATCCATCTTAATGTAGCAGTTGTCTCTGCTGACAGAAAGTCTCTCAAGCCCATCTCAAGGCCAGGTCGCAGATACAGGTCATTAGGGGCCTTTGGGGCCTATGTGTCTCATTGGCTTTCTATCCTAAAGGCGATCTGAAAAGTCCAAGCTCTGTTGCTGATGGAGAGAAAAGAGGGCAGGCTAGTAGGACAACTGCTTCTGTGGAGCGGCTCTCCAGAGAAGGCCAGCCCTAAGAGTTAGCGCAGGGGGAGGGAAAGTGGGGGAGTTGAGGGGGTGTGGTGTGGAAGCAGGTGGGCAGTGCCAGCAGTGGAAGACCCGGGGCCCTCTCTGGCAGGAACAGGAAGTGGAGAAGGGGATTCGACATTTACGTAAAGGTGTGATTGTCTCCCTTCTGCATGTGGCCCACAAGGCAGCCTCCCCGCCTCCTGAGGCGTTAGCCCTGTGGCCTCAGGAATGGATGTGTGGGATGTGAGGGCGATCTGGTTGCGACATCTGTCACCCCATTGATCGCCAGGGTTGATTCGGCTGATCTGGCTGGCTAGGCGGGTGTCCCCTTCCTCCCTCACCGCTCCATGTGCGTCCCTCCCGAAGCTGCGCGCTCGGTCGAAGAGGACGACCATCCCCGATAGAGGAGGACCGGTCTTCGGTCAAGGGTATACGAGTAGCTGCGCTCCCCTGCTAGAACCTCCAAACAAGCTCTCAAGGAATGGATGTGTGAGGAGCCCGAGGCGTCAGCCCCCTCCCCCGCTCCTTAACGGCCCAGAGCCCCCAGGTCCCTCGGCCTTGGGCGGGCAGCACCTCCCTGGACTGCCCTGTCGTGACACCCCCCACACGGTGGGTCCATGGCCCCAGGAGGTGTGTGAAAGGTGTAGAAATGCAGCTGGAAGGCTGAGAATTGGAGAGTGATTCTGAGTGTCTCGGGGGTTGGGGTGGGGGGGAGGGTCACACCTCTGGGAGGCCTCCTGCAGCAAGAAGAGGGAACCAGGGACAGGGCGGCCCCTGCAGTCCCGGAGGCTGGCTTTCAGCTATCTCATCCCTTTAGCTAGATATGGGAGACTGGAGATTGTGAGACCCCTTGCTGCCTGCTGTCAAAAGCAAAAACAAACCTCTGGAAGAAAACACCACCTAGAGCAGGGGTCAACAAACTTTTTCTCTGAAGGGCAAGGTAGTAAATAGTTCAGGCTGTGTTGACCAGATGGTCTTTGACAGGGCAGCTCTGCCCTATTGCAACAGCGCCCTGGACTAGACACGAACCCAGGGTGGCTGGTCTGCAAAACTCTATGTACGGGACACTGAACTGTGAACTTCTTAGAATACTGGCATGTCACAAAATATTTTTTAATTTTAATGGGGTCTTCCCTGGTGGTTCAGTGGTAAAGAATCTGCCTGCCATTGCAGGAGACTCCGGATTCGATTGCTGGGTTGGGAAGATCCCCTGGAGGAGGAAATGGCAACCCAATCCTGTGGTATTCTTGCCTGGGAAATCCCATGGCAGAGAGGAGCCTGGCAGGCTGCAGTCCATGGGATTGCAAAAGTCACACATGACTTAATGACTAAACAACAAAACAACAAAAATACCATGTTAGCAAAACTTGTGGGAAACAGCTAAAGATATGCTCGGAAGAAATTTATAGCCTTTGATGCATTTATTAGAGAAGACAAGAACAACATTAGAAAAGAAGGACTGAAAATCAGTGAACTATACATCCAATCCAAGTTTTAAAAAATGACAGCAAATTAAACCCAGAGAATAAAACTGGAACTAAATAACTCAGATAACAGAATTAGTGAAAAAGAGACAGACAACAATGTCAGGTGAACTGCATATCTAAGTGTGAAAGGTAGAATTTCTAGAAGGTAAGAAAACAGCATTTTTTCAAGTCCTCAGGTGAATGAAAAGTTATAAAATCCAACATTTAAAAAAGTACTAATCATGTAAGAAAAGACCAACAAATTGGATTCTGAAATAGAGACACAGAACATTAAGACTGTATTATGGTGGTTCCAGAAATATCTCTAAGTGGATTAAAAGAGTCACCAGAATTTTAAAACCAAGTACAAATTTCTGCTATAATGTAGTCTTATTTGCTAGAGCTCAAATATACTACCAGCAGGAACTACTCAGTGATTTACTCCAATGGCACTATTGTTATTTAACCCTTATTAAAAAAATTCGTAATGTTTTAGCAGCAAGTTTTAAAAAGTATTTCTTATCATTCATAATACACATTATACATATGAAATGTTGATGTGAACTTAAAAAAAAAAACACTCCTTCAAGCTATGAAAGAGTGTCTATTGTATTCAAGCTATAAAAGAGTGATTTCCTAAAGGAAATCAACCCTGTGTATTCATTGGAAGGACTGATGCTGAAGCTCCAATACTTTGGCCACCTGATACAAAGAGCCCACTCACTGGAAAAGACCTTGATGCTGGGAAAGACTGAAGGCAAAAGGAAACGGGGCTGGCAGAGGATGAGATGGTTAGATAGCATCACCAACTCACTGGGACATAAATTTGAGCGAACTCGAGGAGATAAGCGAGCCTGGTGCGCTGCCATCCATGGGGTCACCAAGGGCTGGACATGACTTATCGACTGACAACAACATTGTAGCAACATAACAATTACGATGTGGTTTAAAGAGATGATCAAGAATGTAATTTTAAGCATTTTCCCACATAAACTTCATACTTCCAAAATAAATAACTAATATCCTCTTTCCAATTTCATTCTCACTAATTCTTAGTCATGGAGGCATGTAAAAGTTATTATTCTAATTTTTACAATGGGAACAAGAAGACAGTGCATTTGAAAGACAGACATAGGATCAAAACTCAATTATCTTTGATTCTTTTCTTTTTTCCTTCACTGTGCCAAGGATGAGTTCTTCATGCCTAAAAGACATTATAGTAGACTGGGAAATTAAAAAAGAATGTTGATTTTTAAGTTTCTTACTATCTTTATTCATACAAATAAAGTAGTCATGGGCAGCAAGCACATTTTCTTGGATGGTTTACAATCATTTATCTAGGTTCCAACTTTGGCATTTAAGATATTAAACATTTTATGAATTTAATTATTAAAATAATAGAGTAACTTAAACTTGTGTCCCCAACTTTACATTGGTCATAATACTTTTCATACTGTGCAGTATTTGAATTTGAAGATCAAAGTACACACACATATCCATCCCAGTGACCTCTTTTTAAAGTTACCTAGATATCCATTTTGGACAATTTGGGTTAATGGGCTGAAAACAACTACATTACACTACATTTACAAGCAAGCAAGAAAACTTTTATTTGGCGTAGTAGCTAAGAAAGCAGCTTTTTACGGAGACTGGAAAAAAAGGAAGTAGGGGAAGTATGAGAGTAATTGCTATCCTTAGGAAATAACTTTAAAAATTCAAAATTTTTCATAGGATCTTATTAAGAAGGATGCAGTACCAGTATAACATTTAACAAATATGAAAGTAACTCTCAATAAGAACCTTGCCTAGTAATTTCTGACCTTGGATGAGTATCATTTCTAGTTGCACACGTAAATCTTCAAAATACGTTATCTTAGGTGTAAGTGAACCAAATATAAAGTAGCGCTAGACAGTCCTTCACATTTTTTATGTTTTGAAAATGAAAATAATATACTTCTGATTTCTTCATAAAAATACCCCTTAAGTCATAACAACTTAAAAGGCATCTTGACTTACATGGGAGAAGATCACATTTTTCAACTCCTACCCCTCTACTTGTACTTCTCAATGTAAACTAACCATGACAACAGTTGTAAATTTCTCTTTGAAAAGAGTATTGTTGTTCTTTCTGACTTTTGCTTCAAGCTGAATCCCTATTAACAGTAATACTTAGACGAAACTCCCCTGCCTAAGTAGTAAAAACTGAAGGTGTTAATTTAGTATCTAAAATCAAAGTACAGAGAAAAAAAAATTTTTAAAGATCAAAGAAAAAAAAAGTACAGCTTTTATCTATCAAATTAAAATTGTACCATATAGCAGATGACATATGGCAGCAAAGACTATATACAATGTATTCAGAGACTAATGCTATTACATAAAAGCTTTCTTTTTCCCCCTAACAACTTAAAAACCAATTTAAAAAAATTGGCTAACTCACTAATGGGAATATATTCAAATGCTGAATTTTAAATTCAGCATTATCTTATGTCTCCTTAAAGACAGGTTGTTACACAAACATCGGAAAGTGCAATAAGTTAGAAAACAAAACCTTGGTTTAGTACAGCTTACGTTTATAAAGTAAAGCACTAAGTGATGTAAAAACCTATACACCAGAATATCAAATAACAACAAATGAACATTATAACTCAAAGAAAGCAGCAGAAAAATCTCACGGTCAGGTTGTTTTCCCATGAATTTTTTAACCCCATTCTCTCCACCCTTCTCAAGCCCTACCTGAAACAAAATCTATCAATACAAACTAAGACCAAGACATTCTGAATTGATATTTAGCAAACTGCAGTTTGGCTTACCGCTGAAGGTGTTTAAGAAAAGTTAAGTTTGGTATACATGCTACAGAGCTTGAGCAACTCAGAAAAACAAAAAACAAATATTACTGTGTTTACAGATCAAAAATTCACACTAAAAAAAAAAAAGACAGATTTGGCATTTAGTATAGAAACTTAGCAGTACATTTTAAGGTATACAAAAGGCCAGTAATGAAAACAGTGATAACTAAACAGCAGAAGCAACATGACTGAGATATACTTCATTGTACAAGAGCCTACAGATTGACAGAAAAAATACGGATTTTAAGAGTCAACTATATTGTATACACCCTACTCACACATCACTAATTTCAAAAGGTCTTTGAAAGTGAAACTGGCAAAAATGGTACTTCCAGGATTCAATACAAAAGGCCAAAACAAAACCAACAAATTGGCTGACATTTATAAAGTAGCCTCAACAAATACGGGATTTTTTTCCTCCTTTATCATTCATATTTTTGGTTTTCTTTGTCAGCCCTTAAAAACAGTAGCTGGAACTTCTAAAGGGGTGAGAACAATGCATTTGTTTCACGCTTCCTCTCACTTAAAACAATAAGCGCTGAATACAGCACAACCCATTAACAACACCCCTTAAAACACTGTCCTGACACAACTTGGGATCTGCTTCTTGGATCCTCAAGCTGGAGGTGCTCATCTGCTAATTCAACAAATACTTGCTTTTGCTTAGGAGGATCTGGTCCTTGGACAAACTATTCACAATGCAGGAGGCTCTAAAGAAACCTAACAGAATCCTTACTTACTTCCCCTGAAAAACACAAAAAAGGAGCTTCTAAACTGAGCTTTCTAAGACTCACAATTTGAAATGGTCTGGAACGGTTAATAACATTTTTAAGATCTAACTCACTGCACACTTCTATAGAGGTAGTAGGCACCTCTGGTGAATCACAAGGACTGCCCTAGTGCAAGCTTCTGTCTTCTCCTCAAATCTAAATCAGCGCCGCCAATCAGAACAAATTTCAAGATATAGTTTCATAATAACTATCTCACAATCAAGTTATAAGTCACACCACCCAGGTTCTGAAGCAAACAGAAAACCAAGCCAGTCAGGAGCTACGCTCACTGTATAAAACTTACAGAAAATGAAAAGAAAACACCACATTAAATGAGAACTATGTAGCTAACATTTTGGTCCAACATGCAGGATGCTATCACAACTGCTTCATCAGTCCAATAGCTGAACCAATTTCTATGTTGAGAAAAGACACAGCTATACCACCATTTCTCTATGAAATATATACATGTCTCATATAAACACCTCCTCCCAGGAAACACTGATTTTTATATTAAGTTGTCTCTTTGAAAACAATTTTGCATCCAATTACAATACAAGTCACTGTTAGTACACCTTAAATTGCGTAAACCAGTATTTAGAGGTCTACACAGAGAATGACAGCATTATACAAGAGCACTTCAACTAAGAATTGGATGAACAACGTTTAAAGTATAAAGACATTTTATAACCAAGCTGTACGGACATTCTGGGGCTTAGGTCTTAGCAACAGGCCACCACCAGTTGTGTCAAAAGCAGATCGCTCACTCTTACAGCTGAGGCCACTAGTAGCACTGGATGTCCTGGAAGCTCCTTCTGAAAATAAATGAAGAGCAAGAAATTATCTGAACTAAATAAATACATAAACCATCATCTGATACACTTCCTTTCCTAATTTGAAGCCCAGATTAAAATAAAACTGTCTTCTCTATCTCACATGTGTTTTTAATAGTCTAATTCTATTCCCAACCAGGAATGTACTTCAGAATTCCCTGTGGAACTTAAAATAACAAACATAACCAAACTCTATACAAGGGCATTTTGATGCAATAGATTTGGGGTGGGAATAAGTATTTTTAAAAGCCTCTCAAAAGATTCTAGTGGGAAAAATGAAGTCTCTTTGTATAACCATTTATACATTTATTCAACAAATAATTTATCACATTCATGGCATGATATTAAGCTTTGAGTTACTGGAATAAGACCCTCTCTTAGTCACTAACTCTACCAAGGAAGTGATGCGTGGAGGATGAATGAATGGAATTAAACTAGTTATCTGAGTGTTTAAGACTACAAGTGGTTCCAACTTTCTGTTCAGTTCAGTTCAGTCGCTCAGTCATGTCCGACTCCCTGCAACCCCATGAATCGCAGCACGCCAGGCCTCCCGGTCCATCACTAACTCCCGGAGTTTACTCAAACTCATGTCCATTGAGTTAGTGATGCCATCCAGCCATCTCATCCTCTGTTGTCCCCTTCTCCTCCTGCCCCCAATCCCTCCCAGCATCAGGGTCTTTTCCAATGAGTCAACTCTTCGCATAAGGTAGCCAAAGTATTGGAGTTTCAGCTTCAGCATCAGTTCTTCCAATGAACACCCAGGACTGATCTCCTTTAAGATGGACTGGTTGGATCTCCTTGCAGTCCAAGGGACTCTCAAGAGTCTTCTCCAACACCACAGTTCAAAAGCATCAATTTTTCGGCACTCAGCTTTCTTCATGGTCCAACTCTCACATCCAGACATGACCACTGGAGAAACCACAGCCTTGACTAGACAGACCTTTGTTGGCAAAGTAATGTCTCTGCTTTTTAACATGCTATCTAGGTTGGTCATAACTTTCCTTCCAAGAAGTATCTTTAATTTCATGGCTGCAATCACCATCTGCAGTGATTTTGGAGCCCAAAAACATAAAGTCAGCCACTGTTTCCCCATCTATTTCCCATGAAGTGATGGGACCAGCTGCCATGATCTTAGTTTTCTGGAAACTTCCTCTATTACAACTCCCTTCCCGGGACGGGTCTCTGTCCCTAACTCTTTTGTCTCTCTTTTTATCTTTTATATTTTGTCCTACCTCCTTTCGAAGACAATGGGCTGCTTTTCTGGGCACCTGATGTCCTCTGCTAGCGATCAGAAGTTGTTTTGTGGGGTTTGCTCAGCGTCCAAATGTTCTTTCTATGAATTTGTAGGGGAGAAAGTGGCCTCCCCGTCCTATTCCTCCGCTATCTTAGCTCCTCCACAATCTTAGTTTTCTGAATGTTGAGCTTTAAGCCAGCTTTTTCACTCTCCTCTTTCACTTTCATCAAGAGGCTCTTTAATTCTTCTTCACTTTCTGACATAAGGGTGGTGTCATCGCATATCTGAGGTTATTGATGTTTCTCCTGGCAATCTTGATTCCAGCTTGTGCTTCTTCCAGCCCAGCGTTTCTCATGATGTACTCTGCATATAAGTTAAATAAGCAAGGTGACAATATACAGCCTTGACGTACTCCTTTTCCTATTTGGAACCAGTTTGTTGTTCCATGTCCAGTTCTAACTGTTGCTTCCTGACCTGCATACAGGTTTCTCAAGAGGCAGGTCAGGTGGTGTGGTATTCCCATCTCTTTCAGAATTTTCCACAGTTTATTGCGATCCACACAGTCAAAGGCTTTGGCATAGTCAATAAAGCAGAAATCAATGTTTTTGTGGAACTCTCTTGCTTTTTCAAAGATCCAGCGGATGTTGGCAATTTGATCTCTGGTTCCTCTGCCTTTTCTAAAACCAGACTAGCTTTTACAGACTTTATAGCTTAGAACATATACAAGTAGTAACAGCACAGACTTCTGCAGGGAATGGTCTGGCCTTTCCGAGTGTTGTACAATCCAGGACTCAGCGGTCACTCCCACCTGTGTTCTCTGGGTGTGTAACGGATCAAATACTGAGCATTAAGAGGGATTAATCTGATGACTACAGATTGCTAATTTCTGTCTTAGTTACCAGTGAAGAAGAAGCATGCATTAGGGCTGGAAGATACTACTGAAAATTCTTCACCGGCTAAAGAGGCTGCTTCAGCAACTTTTAAACAGTCTTATCTGTTCACTTCTTCCTTTAATAAACACACTGAAATTAAAAGTCTCTCCTCCACTACCTAAGAGACTACTGATATTTTCAGTGATTTAACTGAAAATTAACTGGTTGCCATTATACGCTGTAAAAAAGGAAACCTGAAGTTAAGTGAACGAACACAAAACAAGGCATGCCAGTGAAACACAGACTGCATTCCAGAAGTCAGCATTGTAAAGCTCTATCATAAGAGCCTAAGGCATAAACTTTTAAAAGGGAAAAGGGTACAAACAAGTACAAAATATGTGTGCGTGTGCTTACTTAGCGAGCTGTACTGGCTGAGCGTCGACCTCACTCGTCTGGAGACTGGGGATGAGCTGAGATAACCCATGTTGCGGTGATAGTCCATCAGTTGTTCCGAGCGCTTCATGCCAACTGTTGGCTTCACAGCTTCAAGCCTTTTCAGAAAAGCCTTCATTTAAATGAACCATTTAAAAGCTAACGTTAGATAAATAGCAGTAGTTTTTAAAAAAGGCCAACACTTTCTAGAAACTGAAATTCACAAAATAAAGTAGAAAAGACTTCAAGTCACTGCGGAAAAAAAATATTTCAATAATAATGTGGAAAATCTAAAAGTTTCTACCTGTCCTATAGCTAACCAAAACCACTATGATTTTAACAACCGATTGTAGGCACAGCTCTCTTCTTTGTCAGGTTACAGTCTTAGAAAAGATGCTGTAAGTTGCAATACACTAAACCTTATTTTCTCACAGAAATGACATTATGGGAATAATAATGCTAAGAGCCCGTGCTCTTAATAATAATGCTAGAAACGACCGTGAACATATGCTTAGAGAGGAACTGACATATATACTTTTAAGAGCATGAAATAATGTCATTTCTTTCAGCAAGTAAAGTGAAACTATAAACTATACTATAGGAAACTATTATAAAGTACTCCCGTTGACCTCTTCCCTTCTCCTTCTGCTAAGATTATTCTTGCAATTTTTCTTAAAAACAGAATTCATCTTGTCTCCAAATGAATATATGTAAACATGGTTTAATAAGAACAGTTCCAAATTTTATGAATTAGAACAATTGTCCCCTATTGAAGTAACAAAGTTCTAATACAGCTGGGTCTATATGCAGCAAGTGCGCCCTCTACTGGAGGGGGCTGTCCTCTTCACCTGTTCTGCACACCTTTTGCCTGGAAGCCTGCAGCCTCTGGATTGCTAAGGAGCCGACGTTAGGGGACTGGAACAGAATTGCTTTAGTCATCATGCCTGTGAGCCATGTGAACTGGTCTCTATCACTGGAGATGGAGCAAATGAAGGATTATGAATCATGAAAATTACAAAGTAATGGACTCTGGTTGTGCAGTACATTGGACACAAAAGTGTTGTGTGTGTGTACGTGCGCACCCTTGCATGTGTGTTTTGACTACAAACAATCGGGCAAACAGGTTAAAAAGTGTATCATCTCACACTGAAGAACTATTTGAGCCAATGTGGCTCTATCTAAGGGTTTCATAGGTGGCTGGTTATACAATGAATACACAAAAGTTGATAGTTTACGAAAATAACCAATTAGAAAACAAAATGAAAAATTTCATGGCAATAACATAAAAAATATAGTTGTTTTTTTTTTTTCAGAGTTCTCTCTCGGATTTTTTTTCCCAATTATTTTTATTAGTTGGAGGCTAATTACTTTACAATATTGTAGTGGTTTTTGCCATACATTGACATGAATCAGCCATGGATTTACATGTGTTCCCCATCCTGAACCCCCCTCCCACCTCCCTCCCCATCCCATCCCTCTGGGTCTTCCCAGTGCACCAGCCCCGAACACTTGTCTCATGCATCCAACCTGGACTGGCGATCTGTTTCACACTTGATAACACACGTTTCGATGCTGTTCTCTCAGATCATCCCACCCTCGCCTTCTCCCATAGAGTCCAAAAGTCTGTTCTATACATTTGTGTCTCTTTTTCTGTCTTGCATATAGGGTTATCGTTACGATAACGAAAAATATAGTTTTACAAGGAAACTTCAAAACCTTACTAAGGTCGAGTGTTAAGAAGGCTTGAGTGAACAGAAGGACATACATATTTCTAGATTAAAAGGCAATATTTTAAGAGTGCCCAACACTCTGCAACTAAAATGTAAACAACACAATTCCAACAAAAATTTAACTAAAAATTTTTTTATAAAGGAAAATAATCAGCTATTATGAAGAATGCAAAGGACCAGCCAAGAAAAAAATGTTACAATATATAGAATTAGTTTTATTTTGCTTAATAAAGCAAATATCTGCTTAATAAAGAAGAGTTAAGCATAAATATGCTTAACTTAAATATTAACTTAATTAATTAAACTTAAATATTCCTTACAATAACATAATTTTTATAATAAATTATGCTTCTTTCACCATTTAGCTTTAAGCTACTTTTTCTACTTGTAAATTAAGCTTTTGATCCAGAGATGCACTGTCCAAGGCCATATTGTTACATAACATATTGTTACAGAACATTTAAAATGTGGCTAGTTCAAATTGAGATATGCTCTAAGTATAAAATATACAACAGACTTCAGAGACTTAGTATCAAAAAACGTAAATATCTCTCAACAGTTTTTTATATTCATTACATGTTAGAGTGTAATATTTTTTATTTAGTCAGGTAAATATTATAGCGGAACAATTTCACCTATTTCTTTGACATTAGTAATGTAACTGTTAGGAAAATTTAAATTATACATGTGGTTCACTTTATGTTCTACTGTTCTCAAGTATAACAAAAAAGATCCTACTATGAAATGGAGAAAAATATTGCTCACATATACAAATTACTAAGTAACAAAGTAAAAAGAAAAAAAAAGTGGTAATTTTCCACTGCTTATTAAAATAGCTGAGATATACAATTGATATGGGGTATAACAGAAGCTGTAAACAGAAGCTGCTTAGCAGTTTTCATCTCGTTTGTATCTAGAATAGTCCCTAGACATTAATGGCTTCAACTTTTCAAAAGTAAACCCAAGTTCCTCAAAACGACATAGAATTACTATATGACCCAGCCATTCCACTCTTAGGTACACACCTAAAGGAAGTGAAAGCTGGGACCTGAAGAGATACCTATATAGTCAGTGTTCAGTGCAGCATTATTCACAATAGCCAAAATACGCAAACAACCCAAGTGTCCATCATCAGATGAATGGGGAATCAAAATGCGGCATATATACACACACGGAATATTATTCAGCCACAAAAAGGAATGAAGTTCTGATGCAGGCTACAACATGGATGGACCTTGAAAACATTATGGAGTGAAATAAGCCAGAGACAAAATGACCGAATAGTCCATTACTCTACTAATGTGAAATATCTAGACTAGAAAAACAGAGACAGAAGGCAGACTAGAGGTTACCAAGGGCTGAGGGGAAGGGAGAACAGAGCGCTATTGTTTGGCACAGTGTTTCTGTATGCAGTGATCAAAAAAATGTTGCAAGTGAGTAGTATTTATTCACAATTCACAACACGGTGAATGTAATTAATGTCACTGAACCAATCACTCAAAACAGTTAAAACGGCGAACTCCCTGGTGACGCATGGGAAGAATCCTGCCTGCCAATGCAGAGGACACAGGTTCGATCCCTGGTCCAGGAAGATTTCACGGGCCGTGGGGCAACTGGGCTTGTGCGCCACAACGACTGAAGCCTGCACGCTCTACGGCCGTGAGCCACAGCTAAGGAGCCCCTGTGCCCTGGAGCCCATGTGCTCTGCAACGAGAGAAGCTGCCACAACGAAAAGCCCACGGACCACAACTAGACAGGAGCCCCTGCTCCCCGCAACTAGAGGAGGCCCGCAGGCAGCAACAAAGACACAGCACCGCCAGGAGCAAATTAAAAAATACATAGCAGTATGTGCACATCAAAATAATAATAAAGACACTGAAAATTTTAAAAACTGAAAATGGCAAATTTTGTTACTTTTATATATTACTCTAACTTAAAAAAAAAAGAATCATGTAATTTATCAGAACCCACTGTACACTTGAAATGGGTATGGCATGTAAATTATACCTCAAAAAAGATGTTAAAAAGAAAAAAGTAATCCCAAAGCGAGGAAACCTGGATATGATTCTACCACCTGCTCTAGCTGTTTAACCATTTTCATAAAATATAAATGAATCCTGAACTTGCTAGAGTGATGTGTAGAAAGTTAGCATGTAGTTCACTACCCATCACCCTCATTTCAACTTGTTCTGCTGTAATCTACTCCCTGCCATATTCAGGGTAACTCTCTTGACCAATATTTTATTATTTTTTGCAAATATACTACCCTAGCTCACCAACTCTTGGTGTTAGTGATGGTAATAAAGAAATTCATAAGAGTTACTCTTGCAAATTCAGGTTAAGTAGAACTGTAGTGATGATGAAACATAATAAGGGTGAATTTGGGGAACTGTTCTAGTAATTTCAATAACAGCTTTATCACTTATTTTAACTCTGAATGTATGTGTTCATTAAAGGTCTAACTTTAGTTGAAGATGCTACCTGCGTTTAAAATCTTGGCTCAGTCACTTGCTTAGCAGCTCTTTGTCCATGGGTTAATTATTTAACCCTTTTAGGTCTCAATTATTCCACCTGTAAGATGTGGATATAAATAAAGTACGTCCCTGAAAGAATTATTGTCTGGATTCAATAAGCTAATATTTGGAAGACATTTGGAATAATGCCCAGCATTAAAGAGCTCTGTAAATATCAGCAATTATGAATTATATTTTATAAAGAAAATGATATGCTATGAATAGTAGTTTTTAATGTGAAGATTTTCAACAGTTTCCATATATATATTTCTTAGGATATCAAAGGACTATTGCTGTATGATTTTTAATAAATCAATGTCTTTCATACATTCAAGCAGCAGGGCACCAAATCTGACCTCTCTGAAAAAGTGTGTATTATTTAAAATAAATGATATATAAATTATTTTAGCTTTTGAGGATAAAATGAAGTAAAATAGATTTAGCTAGTGACTGAATACTTTGCAGAAGATGTATGTATCTAATCCTTGGACACCATTTCCTGTATTACTATAGTAATTTAACAGATCTAGTCAAATAGATAATAGACCTTACAGTATTTTCATTTAATACTCCCTTAAAATATAGTTTCCTGGATAAAAAAAGCACATATTGTTACTTTCCAGGCTCATGGCTCATCCTGTATTTTATGCCATACAAACTTCTACTTTTATATCATTTAGAAAATTTGGCTGTATTGGGTTTGCTGAAAGTTGGGCTTACAAATCAGTACAAATGCACTTTATTTGATGACTAAAAATGTTTCAGTCACTTACCAAATTTTCTCTTTCAATCCTTTGTTGTTCCCTCTGTCTGTTGAGAGCACTATGATACAACTTAGGGGGAGGACCAGTTGATCTTCTTGGAATCATACTCTTGCTTCCTGGTTTCTCAGCCTGTCTTGACAGTTCTTTCAAAAGCCTCTGATTTTCCCGATCAATCTGTCTCACTTCCTCTCTTGTGAAAGAGTAGTTTTTTCTAGGTGCTACTGAAGGCTGATCAAAGTGATGTTTTTGTGGTCCCTTTTTATCTAATTGCAGAAAAGCTACAGAAGTGAACAACAAAAAAGTGAACAAAAAAAGGAAAAATGGCTAAATAAACAGCAATATGATGACATAATGGCACATGCTTTAACTTTTATAAACGGAACTACATTAACTCATGATAAGGGGTATATGGAATAATTTCAACGACATACAGACTACAACTGGGTAGGAAAAAAATTCAGAGGCAGCTTAAAGGTTTATGCTCATTGGGAATAAATGCTATACACAAAACCATGAAAATATTTTAATAAGAAATGTACAAGGCACTGGTTGTAGACTGCAGGTATAATTTATGGGAAATGCTTTTGTTGTGTTCATTATATGTTCTCCTAAAGGAAACTTAAAAGTTAGAAACCTCTGGCGGATTGCATTGACACAATGATCAGTTGAGATGGTTTTTATTAGTCAGAAAGGCATCCCAAGTGGCGCAAAAGAATCCATCTGCAATGCAGGAGATGTGGGTTCGAACCCTGGGTGGGGAAAATCCCCTGGAGTAGGAAATGGCAACCCACTCCAGTCTTCTTGCCTGGAAAATGCAATGGACAGAGAAACCTGGCCAGTTAAGGTCCATGGGGTAGCAAAGAATTGGATACAATTGAACGACTGAGCGCACCCACACACATAATTCAAAAACTAAAATGTTCTCAGCAATGCATACAATGGCCAGAAAAATGGCAAAAGCAAAGCTAGAATATTCTGAAACTTTCAACTTAACCCGAAAGCATTTTACTATGCAAGATTTATGGTCTTGATATTGGCATTGTAACAAATACTTCTACTGTAAAAGTCAAACTTTTATTCCTGACTAGACGTAAGCCAAATGAATACCTTATATAAAAGGAGCTTTTAACCAAGAAAAATATTTTGTATACTACGATTATCAAATGAAATTTTTATCAACATGCTAAATTCTCAATATTTCATATTATTAGAACAATTTACAGCAAGTCACAATTATTACTGAACAGTTATCAGAAATTTCTAAACATATCAAGCTTGTTTCACCTTAAGTTTCTGCTAAAAATGAATGTCTTACATCAGATTAACAGTATGGTACATTTGTTTTAACACTATCTTTTTAAAGTAACCATTATTTGTTTTAAATTAATCATTTATTTGGCTGCACTGGGTCTTAGTTGAGGCATACAGGATCTAGTTCCCTGACCAGGGATTGAACCCAGGCCCCCTGCACTGGAAGTGTGGAGTCTTAGCCACTGGAAGTCCCCCATTATTCGCTTTCATTATATCAGAGTACCTTTATGTTCATGGGGTTCTCATGGCAAGAATACTGGTGCAGTTTGCCATTCCCTCCTCATTGGAAAAGACCCTGATGATGGGAAAGATTGAAGGCAAAAGGAGAGGACCACAGAGCATGAGATAGTTAAGATAGCATCATGGGCTCAATGCACATGAATCTGAGCAAACTCTGGGAGACAGTGAAGGTCAGACAAGCCTGGCATGCTGCAGTCCCCGGAACTGCAGAGAGTCAGACACATTTAGCGACTGAACCACCACCAGCTTTATGTACACTCTTTTATTCGCTTAGTATTTTATGCTGTTAAAAGCATTTTTAACCCCATTTAAAAATGTGACCGGTGCAGAAAAGTTAAATCCTTTGTGCAAGGTCACGAAACTGTAAATCTACATCTCCATGCTTAAACCAAAGATGATCAGAGATTAAGGAAACTTAAAAAAAAGTTATTAACAGTGACTTCCTGATAGGAAAAATTAGGAAATTAATGGCTGGTAATTTGTTGAAAACCACACCAAACTAACGATGAAACCTGAATAGGAACACATTTAGAAAGAGATATATATGGACTATATATAATTGAATTATCTTGCTTCCAAGAAATAACCATTTTGTAGAATTGAATAAGGTTTCTAGATTAATTTAGCCTTTAAAATTAAATTTTAGAGGGAATTAAAAGTAAGCTATTTTCCTAATGTCATTTACAAAAAGCTTTTAAAAGTAAAGCAACAGCTAAAAATAAAATAAAGGAAGAATTTCAAACTAATTCATTTAAAAAAACAAAACGAAACAGCCTTCTAACCCCCACTTGATGGGAAAAGTACATGTTGAGTGCTTACATACTGATGCCAGGTATCACTAGCACATTTTTCTAAAGTGGCTACTACATGCTTTAGTATGAGGCAATCTCCAATATATGATCCACTGTCTTTCCAATTAAGATCTAATTTGAATAAAATTTCAGGGATAAAAATATGTTAATATAAATATGTACATTATTTAAATTACACATTTAAAAAATACTACCTTTCCCTAATTTTCTTTAATGAAACAATTTTGTTCACACTGTTTACAGTATTTCAATATGTCCATTATCACTAGAGCCACTTCTTGACTCAGTAACATCATTTACTAGAAGTACCAGCTTAACTTGCACCTAAACTGTGATACAGACAGCATTTCAAATTTTCATGTGAATACTATTAATGGAAAATTTATCCCAAGCCATATTATGTCCTTATTTACATAATATTAGTTTTTCTTTAAAAAAATCCACCCTGTAGGCATATTCACAATCCCGATGAAAAAAACCAATGATATTTGCTTTTTAAAATGATGTTTCAAAGGTTGTTTTTTTTTTAAATCCCAACTCTTGTAACTGAGAGGTGATGATTCAAGGAATAATTAAATTTACTAAGTTTCTTTATGAACATCTTGTCAGATGAGAACTTCTGAGACATTCTTCCGGGCTCCTCCCTTTGCATCTGGGCAGGTCTGTGATGGCATGGACCAACACGATACAGCCCAAGGCTGGGCAAAAAGAGAGACAGATGTAGGCGCCCCCTCCCCCCCCCCCAACCGTGTCTCTGGAACCCTTGTGCTTGGGGCCTGGGCCACCCTTGTCTGGCTGCCCTGAGGCTGTGAGGCTGACTACCCTGTGAGGACATCAAGACCACATAGAGGGGGCTGTGTGTGGCGTGGGTACTGTGACCCCAGCCTTCAGGCCATCCTGGGCTGCCACTTTACCCATCTAAGATTGTGATCTGTCATCAGAGCAACAGGAACTAACACACAAAACAGTGCCAGGAGTTGGGTGCTTCTGCAACAAAAACCCAACATCTGGAGCACTAGCTTTGAGACCAGATAGTAAGTAGGGCTAGAAAGGGTTGGAGGAGGCTGCCGGTGAAGATGATCAAGCAGCAGAATTTTAGCAACACTGTTGGCTATGACAACAAGAAAAATGGAAAACATACCTTCTGCCATTGGTGGCTTTTGCTAAGCAGATCCCCAGGCAGAATCTTTAAAGTATCAATAGTTTATTTTACCACCATAAGAAGAAAGGATAGAAAACAGATGAACTACAAAAGGAATCGGTCAGTTTTCAAGCAGAATTTATAGAGAATATCTATATTGGGACTTTTGGGGTTCAAAATTATTACTACTTCGATTTCCTACTCTCCCCTGGCATAAGATTCTCAAAGTACTCGAGCTATAATTGAGGAACCAAACCCAAAGAGCCACAGCTGGCCCTTGGGACTTGATTTAACCCTGGAGCACCAGGTGGGAGGGATCTTTGAAAAGGGGGGACATAGTTTTGCATTTGGGAGGAATGTAAATCAATGTACAGCCAGAGGGTGGCCTGAAGAAGTTTTGCAGAGTGTCTGTGTTATTTGACACTCCTCCCATTAAGAAGGAGGGTCTATGCCCCTGCTCTTAAACCTGGGAAGGTTTATAACCAATAGAACGTGGAAGAAATGATGCCATGTGGCTTCCGATGCTAGGTCATAAAAGGTGATGAGGTCTGTGCCTGGTTTCCTGGAACTGTCCTTGGGGCTCTGAACCATCTGCACTGAGGCTGCGGTACGTGAAATAGCCAGACCACAGGGAGAGGCCACGCACGAGCCCCCTGCCCAGCAGTCCTCGTCCCCAAGCCACCCCCAGCCCAGACACTGGATGTGTGAGTACGCCAGCACTCAGATGATTCCAGGCCCCACCTGTCAAGTCACCCCCACCTTTGAATCTCTCTCTATACTCTAAGGGGCTCCCCTGGTGGCTCAGATGGTAAAGAATCTGCCTCCAATGTGGGAGACCAGGGTTCCATCCCTGGGTCAGGAGGATCCCCTGGAAAAGGGAATGGCTACCCACTCCACTACTCTTGCCTCGAGAATTGCACGGACAGAGGAGCCTGGTGGGCCACATTAGCCCATGGGATCGCAAAGAGTTGGACACGACTGAGCGACTATGACTATACCCTAAGTACTGGGGTAATTTGCTATGTAGCAATAGAAACTGGTATCTCATCACTTAAAAAAATATATTATGTAATAGACCAAAAAAACAAACAAACAAAAAAAAACCCATGGGCCAAGTGCAGCCCATAAGTGGGTAGTTCATACTTTTTTTTTTTGGTCTAACATCTACCAATCTTCCACAGTGATTACAGCTTTGTCAATTTCATCATCAGGCTCTGTTTTGCTTTTATCAAACACTTCAAATCAATGGCTGTTAAATCTTTTTAGTGTACTTGGTCAGTCTGTTCATGTAAAATACTCTCCTTTGTCCCTTTCAGTGATTTTCACATCTCAAGTTCTATTTTGTGTACTAATAAGATTGATATTTCTATTTTCTCCTTGTTACCTGCCTGGAATAACTTTTCCAAGCCTTTACTTTCATTCTTCCTATACTATTGATATTTTAAACATCTTTACAGGTTGGATTTGGTTAAAAAAAATTTATCCCCTCTGATAATACCTTCTGATAAGTCAAAACAATTATATTGTTGGATCTCTTCTCACAATTTTATATCTTCAAAAAAAAATGCTTTTTCTGTTTTTTTCCCCTCATTTTCCCCCCTTTGGAAGACTGACTATGCTAATTTATTTTTTCTCTAATAGACTATTAATCCATTCTTCAAAAATAGAAGTTCTTAAGCAGACCTCACACCAAAAATTTACTGAGGACCCCAAATAATGTTTATGTGGGTATTATCTATCAATATTTACCATGTTAGAAATTAATGGTAAAAAAATGAAAGATATCTGTTAATTCATCTGAAAATACTAAGCCAGTGCTATGTAAATATCACATTTTTATAAAAATAAAAAATCAGTGAGGAGAGAAGCAAACACTTCTGCAATCTTTTACCGCCTGCCTTCATAGAAGACAGCCAGAGCGACACAGCTTGGCTGCGCACACACCACATCTCACACGTCCATGGCTTAGGTCTATGGGGAAGATGAAAAAAAAAACAAAAATATTCTTGGATCTGAAAGCTTCACTGGGCAAATTCAGCAGGAATAATAATTTGAGAAAGCTCAAGAAACACCATATGTATAGACTGATCGCCATAATTAGTATTTAAAACACACTCTACTGCTATACAGGATCTTTGGTGGGTTATATTGGTGACTCCAATAACAGATGCATCAATGGGCAAAAATGCCACTTTGTTCCTGGGCCTGTAGTAGCCCTGAGCACCACGTACTGTATGGGCAGGTCCTGGGATCAGAGTTCCCCAGGGGGCAGCAGATCGGATAAAGCTCTAGTCCATGTGCCTAGAGACTGAGCCACATTTTAGCTCTGTTTCTGAGTCAAAACAGGATAAGATTATAAGGCAGAAGCAGAAGGCAAAGACTTCCCGTATGTATTTCAGATGGCAAACCTAAGACTAGTGGGTAACTTTTATAAAATCCAATTTCAGTGAAACTTAAGATGCATACTTCCTGACCGTTAGCGCTGTGGACAGAAGTGTCCCACAGTCCTTTAGGTAACAAATAGTGTCTAATGCGGGGATTCCAGCAAGGAACAAGATCCTGCCCTCATGTTGCTTACACTAACTCCAGTCTCCTGAAAGGAAATGGGCTTTTGTGACCGTGAGGCAGAGGTAAGTGTGAAACTTCTGCACAGAACGTTCAGAAGAGTATTTCCGAGAAGGTGATGGATAAGCTGAGGGCCGAGCAATAGATGGAAGGAGCCTCTACAGAGAGAGAGGCCAACCTCAAGTGCAAATACCCGATGAGTGCAAAGTATTAACATTCTATGGACAGTAAGGAAGTACTGTGACTGGACTGAGAGGTAATGAGAGAAAGAGGAGATGAAGCAGTAAACAGATGATGGCAAGCCACGATTCATCAACTTTAACAGCATATGAGACAATGGCACCAGGCTCTCCATGGCAGAGCCCAAGCATCAGTACTTAACAGTTTGTTTTAACAATCTGAGTAGTTCTCCAAGAGATGCTCATGTACTTCCTGGGATAAAGAGTCACGGAACAAATAGTCTGTTAGCCTATGGTAAGAAATTTGGTATTTATTTTTAACCTAAGAGTAAGCCCACTGAAGAGTTTAAAGGAAACTAGTAGGTCTGATCTACTTTTTTAAAAGATCATTCCCGTTGTTAGGGGAAGAAGCAGATGGGCAAGAATAGAAAACTCAGTCTTGAAAGTTTTAAGAGATTGAATGAGCATTTATCAGGAAAGGAATGCTGAATGGAGACTTAGCCACTAGATAGTAACAGGCAATGCCAAGAATCTGATTTTGAATTCTACTTTGTGTACTAACAAGATTGATACTTTATTTTCTCTTTCTTACCAGGCTGGCAAATCTTTTTCAAGAGTTTACTTCATGAGTATTCTTTCTTTGTCAGGAAGCATTTAACAGGAGGCTTCCTGTGAGCTGTCTGGATCTGTCAGGAACCCATTGTCCTTATTAATTCCTGAATATTCAGGAATTAAGAGGAGAGGCACGCCTTTCCCTGGGCTGAGGAATCCAGGCGTGTCATTCGTTAGTTTTTCAATACGGTGATAAGTACCCTTTTCCTTTTTATGAACCACGCGGTAATAAGGGTCGACTTATGTTTTGTAAGTCTGGAATTTTAATCTTTATCTTTGCTGAGAGTAACTACCTTGTGAGACAGTATATATGCCCATACCATGTTGATTAAAACACCTTTGCTTCATCAGAGCTTGGGTCCCCGTGTCTTTTCTTTCTCTCTCTCTCTCTCTCTCTCTCTCTCTCTATATATATATATATATAATATATATATATATATTTCTGGCTGAATCCCCAGAGCGCGAAAGCTGGCTGCATAACCCAGGGACTATTAGCCTCTTTCCTTCTTTCACTCTCTCATGTCGACTCTGGATCTCCAGGTTCCAGTCCAATAAAGGACCAACATTCCTTATACTATTAATATTTTAAATAATTAAACAATCAATGAGTAACAATCAAAGAAAACCTATAAAAGAGGGGACATTCACAAGTGTAAGTTGCTCCAAAATACATTTTATCAATCTATGAGACTCATTTGACTAAATAAGGGACTTATTTATGCCCTTCTATCACCACCCTATGTAAATTATGTAGCTGAAGATTTATTCTTTCAATTCACATTTTAAATCAAGACAAGAGAGTCCTATTTACAACTTAAAAAACTTTATCTTCAATTGCCCTAAAACCTAACCTGCAAGCTCAATATTTTTAGTTTTATATTAACTAGTCAAAGATGAAGTGTGAGGTTGCTTTTACTTCACCTGGAATATATTGTTCCTTTCAAACTAAATAATGGGTATAAATAAATTGAGACAGAAATACAGTAGTCAGGATTATCTTAATACTTAAATCCTTCTATCTTAGAAGTAACTAAAAGTTAAATCATGCTATTTCACCAACTTGGTAATTATTTTCCAGTAATTCTGTCTAGCCTTTAACTTAAAATCAGAATTGTCTCCTACACTTTACTCTGAGTTCTCTTAATTTGTTAGCCTTCATGCCACCTTCCCTTAAACTTGGTGCTCTTGCTTTCTTTCTCAAAGAAAGTGAAATATATCTTACAACCGTGTCTCCATCACACATAGGAAAACATCTGGCTCCCCTTCGTGCATTTATTTTATCTGGTCTCCAGGCATTTTGAGTTTCTAAGAATCACTATGAAGCAGTTTCTAGTCCCAGTTGATTAGTTTTGTAGTAATATAAATAATGATATTCCAGATATCTTTAAATGAAATAATTTGGTTAAATTATAATAATATATCCATGATCTCAAACAAGACACACCTACTAGAAAAATCAAGGCAAATTCACAGCGTTTAATATTTAAGCTCAATATAATATTAGGTTTAATATTTAAATTCAATACACAGGACATTCCTGGGGGTACAGTGGATAAGAATCCTCCTGCCAATGTAGGGGACAGGGTTTCGATCCCTGGTCTGGGTGGACTCCACACGCCGTGGAGTAACTAAGCCCATATTCCACAACTACTGGGCCCATGTGCTGCAACTACTGAAGCCCATGCACCTAGATCCAGTGCTCTGCAACGAGAAGCCACCAAAATAAGAAGCCTGTGCACCCCCACTAGAGGGTAGCCCCCCCTTGCCACAACTAGAGTAAGTCTGTGCAGCCAAAAATAAATTAGAAAATAAACAAAGGCCCTATCTCTAGATGTCGTGATTTAAAAAATAAATAAAATTCCAGACAGTGTTTAAAATTACCTTTTAAAAGATGATTCAGGTCCATTGTGTCATGTAAGACTTTTTGTTTGTATCTGTGGTCCAAACTGAAATCCAACGCTGTTGACTTTGAGGTGAGACTGGGTTCATGTTTTTCCTTCCCTTTTTTGGCTGATTTCAAAGATTTTGAGTTATTTTTCAGATCCTCAACATTTTCATATACTTCTTGCCTCACATTTTCTTGCCTTTTAACTTTCACTTTTCGGTCGCTTGAGGCACCCAGTTCGAAAGACTGAACCGGGCTGATGTCCGGGGTCGATAAAGGAGTGACATCTGTCACAGTGTCTTCCGATTCTTCAGTGTCATCACCAACCTTGGGTTTCGTACCTGAAGCGTGGGCTCCTGGTGATTTTTCTCCTGGTTTATATTTCAGTTTGGGTGACAAGTGGGTGGCGCCAGGGAGACGCTTCTTCAGTGATGGAGATGAATCAGACAGGCCAGCATCAGATCCGGTATCTGAACAGCCTGTATCGGAACTTGAAGACGAGAAGGACAAAGAGGAAGAGGAACTGCTTCTGGAATACTTTTTACTTAGGCTTTTCTTGAAGTTATTCGGCAGCTTAGCTGACTTGGACCTGACATGATGCTTTTTCTCATCATCAGTGCTTTCCTCTCCATCTGTATAGTAGTCGTGCTCACCGTCTTTTACAGTTTGCGGAAGGCTATTTGGAGTGGGCAAGCATATTTTATGTTCTACTCGAACATCACACAGTTTTGATCTTGAAGAAGTGGTCGAGGATGAAGAATTTCCAGCTTGCGCATTACCATCTTCTGCAGGGTGCTCCTCTGGAGGAGTTTTCCCATTGCTCTCAGTTCCCTTCTCAGTAACATCATCTTCCTTTCTTTGTAGTCCAAGTTGCAAGTTTACATTTTCTGTATCTTTGTCTATTCTCTCTTCAGCGTCATCATCTTGCTTGTCAAACACTGAGCTACTCTCACCTTTCTTTGCTTCTTCGAAGTCACTGTCAAAGAAAGAATGGTCCACTTCACCTTCTGATATATCATCAAACCGATCCATGCCGGCAAAAAATATATCTGAAAAGGAGGAAAGTGGAACCATCAGACTAAGAGTAATTTCCAAATTATTCTTTTTATTTTTATACAGTAATTGCAAACTTCCCCAAACTGAGAAGTCTGGGTAATATATAAAGAGAAATATGAGACAAAACACACACACACAAAAAAAAAAAACCCTACCATAAAAACAGTAACTCAGTGAAATGATAATGGGGGCTACAGGGGTAATAATCAAGTTGCACCAATGATCTGAACAATAATAAGAGATCATCAAGGCAAGCATATCACAAGTGCAGATATGTGGGTGAATGCCAAGGAAAAACTGACTTCTATAAATTAAGTACAGCTAGAGTTTAGAATACTAAGCCAGCCTAAACAGACATCATTCTGGTAGACTGGCCGGTTAAAGACTCACATTTCCGGGGGAAGCTGAAACTTCAAGGTTAGTTATGAAAGCCCCAGTTTGGTGGGATGGCCCAGCAGTCAGGACTCCATTTGGAGCGGGCAGTTTTCAATCAGACTCAGTTTAAAAGATGAGAGATGTGATCAAAATCTAAGGCATTAGCAACAGTCTCAGCTACTGCTCTTAAGCTCTTAAACTTTTTGTCGTTCCTTTATGTGGCATCTGCAGATTACGGCGTTTTTGCTTAACCCATGTGATAGTCACAGGTCACAGCTTCAGGCTCACAGTCTTAAAGCCAGTTATTCCCTTCTCCACTTTTCTGAGGTTCAGTCTTAGGGAAAGATCATTTCCTTGATGGTTAGTGGCTATGAATGTACAATTAGAGCATTACTTTTAATACTGAAAAAAAAACTTGAATAGAGGAATATTTTGAGTCATTAAAATCGTTATTTAAATCACAGGTCAGCAAACTACTGTGAATGGGCTAAATCTGGCCCACCACTTGTTTGGTAAATAAAGTTTTATTGGAACACAGCCCCACTCACAGGTTGAAGAACTGTCTCTGACAGCTTTCCCACTGTATCTGCAGAGTTAAGTAGCTGTGACAGATACCACAGCACCGACACAGCCTAAAATGTTTACCCACGGACCCTTTGTGGCCCCCTGATGTTGGGGCTATTATCAGCGTGAAAAATGCATTAATACAAAATTGTTATCTATACTGGATTAATAATACAATTTAGACATTTGGACAAAAAATGAGTTGAAAAATCATCAATCCCACTGCATTTTTAAAATTTTCATTATTGTTATTGTGATAGTGTTCATGTAACAAACTAAGAAAGGAAGTGATTGACAGGAAGTCTGCACAGTGAGAAAGAACCAACTGGGTCAGATACTCAGGCTCAAAACTTGGTATTGCTGCTTCTCAGTCGTGTGTTCCTAGGCACATAGAGAAGAAAGTGCATCACAGGCCTGTCTGCAACAGTGCTGACTGAGGGAAAAACTCAATGTCCAGTCAGAGGAAAACAGAGAAGAGAAATGTTTTATATTATATACTGTGTATCAGTCAAAATGATGAGCTGAGAGCCACAAAAATCATGTCTACCAAGACAGCGGAATTAAATGAATGACAATATAATCATGGAAAACTTAACACACACACACAAACCAAACGTCACTAAACTCTTCAAGCAGACAAACATATACATAAAATTCTACCAGCCTGGCCCGGGAGGACATGCATTAAATATCCAAGAGTATGAGCTTATAAAGGGAGGGAGGAGGAATGAAGCAGGGAAAGGGGATAAAGGGGGAGAATTAAGAACCGGTTTTCTGTGATCATGGGTCATCACAAATATAAAAAGGTACGACTGGTCGTTATCAATCTAATTCTGCCCACCTGAGTTCAAAGAGAAAAGCAGCAAATCAAATAAGCTATTGAACAATGGACAGCACTTATTAATAGTCATTAAAGTCTCCCCAAAGCTATCCTTTTTTGTAAGATAATCCACACTTTAAAATGTCAAGGAATAAAAGAGGAGTCAGTGGTAGCTGTTTTTTCCCACGGTTAAGAATGACTTTAAGGACTGAAAAGTTTCTTCAAATTCTAAAATCAGTTTCATTGCACAGCCCAGAGCTAATTTTCTTAGCCAGTTTAAAACACAAATCTTTAAAAAAAAACAAATCATCCAAATTATTCCAACTTCCCTCCCTCTGCAAAACTTGCTTACATTTTTCAGGAAATAAAATTACTAAGCTAAGTCTCATTTGTATTAGTGTTGTTATCCTACTACTACTAATAGTTAAAACATATTGAGTACTTATATGTTTTTGTTGTCCGGTTGCTAAGTCACATCCAACTCTTTGTGACCCCATGGACTGTAGCACACCAGGCTTCCCTGTCCTTTACTGTTTCCCAGAGTTTGCTTAAACTCATGTGCATTGAATCAGTGATGCCATCCCACCATCTCATCCTCTGTCGTCCCCTTCTCCTCCTGCCCTCATCTTTTCCAATGAGTCTCTTCACATTAGGTGGCCAGTCCTTCTAATGAATATTCAGGGTTGATTGTTCTAAGTACATAAGAAGTACTAACTCACTGACTCTTGACAACAGCTTTTAAGATATTCTGTCACCTCTGGTAAGTGGGAACTTGCCTGAAGCCACACAGCTAGTTAAGTGGCCTGCCAGGGTTCTAAAGTGGGCAGCTTTGAGGATCACGTAACTAACCACTGTTCTACTCTGCTTTAGAAATATGGTCCTAGCCTTATGGAAAGAAAAAAACTGAGACCTTCCCTCTTTGAACTTTAAACACATTGTTGTGATATCAATTATTTATTTGACAGTTAACGGGCCAAGATAGTAAAATAACCCCTCCCGTGGTAGGGAGTTTTAAGAGAAAATGGGACTTGTTTAGCAATATGGCTTTAGAAACAGTTCTTTGCAAAAAAGGATGGCCTGCCCAGTGAAAATTAGATACACATGCTAGTGTTTACCACGCATTTTGCTGGATATATTTGTTGTGCAGCAGTTTTCCTCTAACAAAATAATCTGGAACAAATCTCACTGGCATCACAAACTGAATAAACCAGTAGCCTTAGGTAAATTTAAGTGTTAACCTAGATAATAAGAATTCAGGACTTTGAACTGACTTGTGACTCTCTATCCCAAACTGAACTTGTGATCAAACCACCTTTCCAAAGACAGTAATGAGTTTCCCAGGTATTTCTGGCAAGGAGAGTGACAAACCCGGTGTAGCAACATACAACTTCCATCATATTCTGCTTGGTCAAACCACCTTTTGGCAAAAAGTCTAGAACCTGAGTTATGATTAATGGTTTACCGACCAAGGGCTCACAGAAATAAAAGAAATAACTAAGGGAAAGGGTGTGTTCAGATACTTGAAGAGTAGTGATATGAAACAGACTTGAGAGCTATTATTTGCAGCTCCAGAGGCAGAACTTGCATCAACAGATAGAATGCATAAGAAAGCTGTTCTGAGTTTAACATTAGAATTGCTCCAAAATGGAATGCATTCCCTTCAAGGATTATGAGCCATAAGTCATCTAGCCAAACGTCACTAGATACCGTTGAAGCAAAGACTTGATGGCTATTTGCTGGGGTGCTGCAGAGGAAATTTGTGTGTCTGGAGGATATGACCTTTCCCAACCCTAATATGAGCTAGGTCTAAATCCCAAAGTCTATCCCTAAGCCAAATGACTACAGATACTTCTTTGAAATCCGTTTTTCTTAGCTGTTTCCCACCTTCCCTGTCTTCTTAGCAAACTGGGAACTCCTGGTACCTTGCTCATCTTTCTATCCTAGCGCCTAAAGTCAGACTTGACAAATACTAGATATTCAAAGAATGTTTATCTGATGAAGGAGTTTGGAGTTAGGAGATTTAAGACTGAGCCAGCTATGCAGGGCTTTTCAGGTGGTACAGTATTACAGAATCTGCCTGCCAATGCAGGGGACACTGGAGACATGGGTTCAATCCCTGGGTCGGGAAGATCCCCTTGGAGGAGGAAATGGTAACCTGCTCCAGTATTTTTGTCTGGAAAATTCCATGAAGAGAGGAGCCTGGTAGGCTACAGTCTGTAGGGTTGGAAAGTTGGACACGACTGAGCACAGCCAGCTATGTAAGCAGAAAAATCACCTCTTTCACCTGATTTTTTTTCCCAGATAGTTTTCCATAGCTGTCCTTCATTCCCTTCCTACCCCACACACTAGAAGCAACTATCCCCATATTTGCATTCACAAGATCCCTGTGAGTGTGAAAGTCACTCAGTCGTGTCTGACTCTTTGTGACCCCACGGACGGAAGTCCATCAGGCTCCTCTGTCCACGGAATTCTCCAGGCAAGAATACTGGAGTGGGTAGACATTCCCTTCTCCAGGGGATCCTCCCAACCCAAGGATCGAACTCAGGTCTCCTGCGTTGCAAATGGATTCTTTACCACCTGAACCAACAGGGAAGCCCCACAAGGTTCCTGTAGTCCCCAACAATTGTAAACATCTGTCTCCCTAAATGGTCACAGTTCATGAGAAGGGGTGCAGAGATCAGTGTCTGGGAGACTTTTCAGGCTTAGATTTAGGTTCCTAACATCCAACAGATGGGTTATTGTAAGGACCTAAACATTCAGGTTTTTTCAGTAGTCATGTATGGATGTGAGAGTTGAACTATAAAGAAAGATGAGTGCCAAAAAATTGATGCTTTCGAACTGTGGAGTTGAAGATTCTTTGAGAGTCCCTTCGACTGCAAGGAGATCCAACCAGTCCATCCTAAAGGAAATCAATCCTGAATATTCATTGGAAGGACTGATGCTGAAGCTGAAACTCCAATCCTTTGGCCACCTGATGCAAAGAACTGACTCATTAGAAAAGACCCTGATGCTGGGAAAGATTGAAGGCAGGAGGAGAAGGGGAGGACAGAGGATGAGATGGTTGGATGGCATCAGCAACTCGATGGACATGAGTTTGAGTAAGCTTGCGGAGCTGGTGATGGACACGGAGGCCCGGCGTGCTGCAGTCCATGGGGTCGCAAAGAGTCGGGATATGACTGAGCGACTGAACTGAAACATTCAGGTGACTTAACAAACAGAACAAATATCCAACTGTCCCAATCACTAAGCAATCCTTTTGACAATCTTCAGTTAGTGAGATTCAATTTACATTAAAGAGTAATAAAAATATGGACTTAATAAGATAATAAAGTTTCTCTAAAAAATATTGGGAAAGCGTAAAAATCAAATGACAGTTCATCAGACTGCAATAACCCTGCTGGTACTCATCGAGGACAAGTACTTGCCAAAGCTGCCCAGGAGTCATTTAGACACCCATCATTCGTAGAATCCTTGCAGAACCGGCAATACAAATACCAACGCTTTCACCTTATATCAGGAAAACACACAACGAGGAATCCGGCATTTTTAACTGTCATTTTAGATACTGTGACATGACGTGTCTATAGTTAAGACATATGATTTGGTCCAAAGACGGTAACCTATTGGATACCCGAAAATCTCAGCCCAAAGGAAACACCTGTCTTCCAGGATCTGAGGTTCCTTACACGACCCCCTCCGGACCGCACGAGGTAGCGGATAACTGACATCCCCCTCCCTCCTCTGGGTTCAGGGTCAAGTTCCGCGGAGGTGGGCGGGGGAGACCTGAGCCAGGATCTCCCGGGGCGGGGGCGGGGGAGGGGATCACGTCTTAGTTCACGGCCGACCCCGACTCCACGCCACCCGCGAACGCGCCCCGAGGTCAGGCCCGGCCATCCCAGAGCGGCCGACGAGGGGCGCTGGCCGTGAGATCGCGCTGGCCCCGGACGCCTCCGCGTGGGTTAGACCCGCCTGCCAACGGGCTGCCCCGGCCGCAGAGGAGGCGGGGCCCGGAGGGCTGGGGGGGCGCGGCCCGGCCGGTCCGCCTTCCGCATACCGACCCTGAGCGATCGCCGCGGCCTGGGCCCCGGAGAGAGGAAACGGATCCCGAACGGGGGGCGGGGGGCGCGGAGAAAGGGTCGCCCGCGCGCAGCTCACCCGGCGCCGCAGCCTCCTCGCGCCGCCGGCGTCCCTGCCGTGCGCCCGCGCGCGCGCTCCCACAGCCCCTCCACGCCGCCCCGCGGCCGCCCGAGCTTCCGGAAGCGGAGAGAGCGGAACGGGAAAGGACGTCGCCTGGGGCCGCGCCGCTGGTCCCGCGGGAAGCGGGCGGTGCCGGAGGCTCCTCGCGGCGGGCGTCACAGAGCGCGGCGGGCCCGCCCCGCTCCGGGACGCGCGCGGGGCGCCGGGCCTGGCCAGCGGGCCCCCTCTCGGATGGGAAGGGACGCGGGAAGAAAGTGACCTCCGGACCCTCGGCTGTGCCCTGCACCGCCAAGGTGTTAACTGCTGCAGCCTCCGCTGTTAACGAGGAAAGCTGCTTTGATGGTCTTGTAATGTTGTACCCAAACAGCGACAGTAATAATAAATATGGAGGCAGCTGATATAAATATGCTTATATCAGCAACGTTCAGTTTAAACAGCCCTGTGGGCCATGGGCTGGTAAACATGTGAGAAAGTCCTCTGACTACTGGTAAATGAGATGGGTAGTTCAAACAATCTGGTAAAAATGATCTCCGTCCACTATATTGAATGCAGCCCTTTTTCGTGTTTGAACTCGCAAGCACACAGTAGGTGCGACAGAGCAATGGCACCCACAGATGCCAGCCTGCTAATCCCAAACCTGTGAATATAAAGCAACGTGGGCTGCTCTGTGATTAAGGATCTTCAGGTGGGAACATCAACCTAGGTTATCCCATGTGATCTCAATGTAATCCCAAGGGTCTTTATAAGCGGGGAGACGAGATTTGGGGTCGGTAATAATAGTAAAAAAAAAAAAAATGGCCATGGAAGCAAGAGCTTGTAATATACACCATGTTGACTATAGTTAATACCCTGCTGTATATTTCATAGAAGCTGGAGATGCCCCATGGACAGAGGAGCCTGGCAGGCTACAGTCATAGGGTCGCCATGAGTTCGCCACTACTGAAGCAACCTGTCATGCACTGGAAACTGACAAAGAGAAGAAAAAGGATTCTACCCTTGAAGCCTCCAGAAGAATAGCAGCCCAGGTCCTACCTTAATTTTAGACTTTTGACCCCCAGAACAGTAAGATAATAAATTCATGTTGTTTTAAACCACTAAGTTTGTAGTAATTTGTTATAGCAGCAATAGGACATTAATACAATAGGTACCCAATATTTTTTACATGGAAGTGTAGAGAAAGGAACACCTGGCAAGCCATACTGTGCATGCCCAGTCGCTTCAGTCGTGTCTGATTCTTTGAAACCCTATGGACTGTGGCCTCTGAGCCTCCCCAGGCGGTGGGATTCTCCAGGCAGGAATACTGGAGTGGGTTGCCATGCCCTCCTCCAGGGGGTCTTCCCCACCCAGGGACTGTACCCAAATCTCCTGCATTGGAAGCAGATTCTTTACTGCTGGGCCACCTGGGAGGGCGCCTTCACATGGATTTAAACATGGAGAGATGTAATTCATTGGTTCCAAAGAGGGACAAAGCTGAGCACACATGTATGTAGGTCCCCTCTCATTTAATTCCTGATTGGGCCAATATGATTTGCTTTAGCCAATGAAATGTTAACAAATGTAACACAAGCAAAAGCTTAAAAAGAACTTGTATATCACATCTCTGACTTGGTCATGTGAAAAGACCCAAGCAATCTCTTGAAGGATGAGAACTCAGGGAGCAGAGACAAGCCATGTTAATGGAGGCTTCCATAGCCAGAGAGGAGATCACAGCATCATTAGTGGCTCAGGCAAGAAGAGGAGAACTGACCTAACTGACCCCAGCCCATTGGCTGACCTGCAAAATCATAAGCATATCCAGTGGTTGTTATTTGGTGGTAGTTATGTGACAGTAGATAATTGACATACTCTATTTCCCTAAGTTTCAGGTCAAAACTTGGATAAACTGAAATTTTTCTCTTTGGGGGATCTACCCTTGTCAATTCTTTGTCTTGATACCAGCTAATTCAGTGTACAGTACTTTCCTTTGTAATTCTCTTTGAAGATTAATACAAAGACACTTCTGCCTGAAAGTTTCCCAACATGAGTATTTTTACTTGAGGAGGCCCACTTAGCATAATTTATATATCAATGTCCTATAATTTTGTTCACAGATTAGTTTTCCTCTTCCAAATGCTGTAGTATGTTTCCTTTAAGCTTTAGTAATCTACTATTTGTTTTTAAAGTGTTTTATAATTTTTTCACTTCTCCCTTTGAAGTTTGGCCACACTTACTACCGTATTTTCTGTAAACTACATTCTGCTTGAAAGTTTACGAGAGAGGTTAACAGACCTGCTATGTTCTTGGAGAGAATTAGCAGAAGAAACTATAGTGATATCTAGGTATTTTGATTCATGTTAATACCTAAACATAATTTTACCCAAAGTGGGCAAAGGCAAATACAGTGCTTTTCTCTCTAACCCTATGACTACCTTTAAGGAGAGCCAGGGGCTTTAAGGAGAAGTATACGAAATAGTGAATGGGCTGCCCTAGTAGCTCAGACGGTAAAGCATCTGCCTGTAATGCAGGAGACCCGGGTTCATATCCCTGGGTTGCAAAGATCCCCTGGAGAAGGAAATGGCAACCCACTCCAGTATTCTTGCCTGGAGAATTCCATGGACAGAGGAAGCTGGCTGGCAACAGTTCATGGGGTTTCAGAGTTGGACATGACCGAGCAGCTAGCACACATACTAAACAGTGAAGGGGAAGATTCATTACATATAATCGACAGAGATTGGGTGTTGTATATTACACTCTAATACTTTAAATGTCAAATTTTCACTTAATTTATGCTTATATTATCCCAATGAATTATAGAATCCCAACAGACACCATTCCCAGCTTACCAAAGAGAATGAAGATAGCCCATGGAGTGTTTAATACAAACCTGTCAGAATGTGCTGGCCATAAGGAATATAATAAATAAGGCATCTCTACTTAATTTGGTCTTAACTTAGACCTGGTAGGACTCAGCACTGACTTCCAGGAAGGAACACCTGGATTCTAATTTAATACCTGACATCTCCCTCAATACCTCCTGATCTCAGGCACTCCCTTGTATATCTTACCACCAGTGTTCCTCAAACCTTGCACAGGGTAGAAACCAAACTACTACTTTTAAGTAAATGTTTGAATTGTCAGTGCTGACTTCGAAGCCATATGACATTTGCTTTAAGGCAGTTTTCTGACCACCAGTGTACATTTCTCCAGATCTCATCCTTGGGAACAATATATAGTGTGCTGGAAAGATCAAAGACCAGGGTGCTCAATAAGTGTAAGACAGTTTCCTCTTTATTGATTATACGATTTTACCAGCTTTAGTGATTACTATAAATCACTTTGCACTTGTCAGGTGGCTGGCTAAAATACCAGCCATACTCAAAAAGCAACAAAACTAAACACTTACAAAAGCATGGAATACAGGGACTAAGCTCATGGATTTAAACCCTGTTTTTTCTCATTTGTCATATGGGATGACTAAATGAGATAGAGTTTTTAGAAAGTACCATGACTTAGTGCTTAAATGCACAAGTCTTAGAGCCAGAGCCAGTGGGTGATAAATCCAAAGTCTGATAACTCTATAACAGTTGAGCAAGTTATCTTGCCTTCTGTACCTCAGTTTCCTCACTGGATAGATGGAGATTACATTCAGGGGTGATTGTGAAGATCAAATGAAGCATGTCTAATGCTTAGATCAGTATTTGACACAGTTAGTGCTCAGTTACGATTATTGTCAACTGCAGTAAACCCATATTTTGGAAAATCTTAAATATATATATATATAAAGTATGTAAAGCGCTCAGCATGCTGTCCCCTGCATGTAAAGGATCCAAAAAATATGGATCTTATTGTTGGTAATATCAAGTTACCATGCTTTATTTGAAATAATTTGGAATTGTAGGGTACACTTTGAGGGCCCCCAGTGGGATGAACATTAACTATTTTAGGGCAAAAGGGCTCCGTCAAGATCAGTTACACTGCTTTATTTAAAAATAAAAAAGAGAAGACAAGGAGGACAGGAAGGTAGTAACTACTTTTGAAGTCATCCCGTGTCATCACCTAGGCATGGCAAAGTCACATCTGGCCTAAGGCACTCATTATCTCCTTGTCTTTGACTAACAAGGAATAAGAATAAAGTGGTCCATGAATACTAATATTTAAAACAATCAGCTTTTTAAAAATGACAAATGTGAACATATTTTTTATATAGATATATAAAATAATTCATCTCTGTACTGTTTTATTAGAGCTTAACATTAGGGATAATTTTTTTTTGCCTCCTACTTCATCTCCCACTTGAAATCCATGCCATTCCAGGGAAATTTATTACAAAACCATTAATACATGGGTGGCCTTTGTATGTCTATGGACACTGGTATTTTTTCATTTGAATGATAACCTCTTGGATAATACTTTGCTTTAAAAGAATAAACAGGGAGTTCCCTGGTGATCCAGTGACCAAGACTGCGTCCCTAATTCAGGGAGCCTGGGTTTGATCACCTGGTTGCAAGCTGGATCCCAAATACCGCAGCTGGAGATTCCACATGTAGCAATGAAGACCGGGCACAGCCAAATAAATATTTTAATAGTTAAAAAAATAAAATAATAAAATACCCACTAGTTTACTTTTATGAATGTTGCATTTTTTTTCTCAGTTGAAACGATGGAGATTCCTTATAGAAAAGCACAGTACAGTCACAGTATTTGAAAATATATTTTAATGCTTACTTAACTCTATTTCCTAGGAAGCAGGCTGTAACTCAATCTGTTGGAAAACTCTAGTGTTTTTAAACGATTTTGCTTTTTGATGTCTGTCTCCCACATCCTCCATGGCATCCCTCATCTATTTACCCCCTTCCTTTTCTTCCCCTTTCTATTTTTGATTTGCCCTATTCTATCACCCCCTTTTAAGTAAGCATTAATCTCTTTCCAATTCCTTCATCTCCCTTAGAATTCCTTTATTCATTAAAGATACATCTGCTGTTTTGTTGATCTTAGTGATTTCTAGTGTTTAGCATATTGGTTTCTTCTCAGTAAGCATTATGTGTATATTAACGCGGGGACCTTGGTACGAGAAGAAAATATGTATTCTCAAAATTACTTGGAGCACTTTCACTTGCGTGCGGGCACTGGCATTTGTACTGGATCGTTGGCGACAAAAATACAGGGAGTTGGAGCCCAGTGAGGATGGCAGCTGTGCACGCCCCCTGGCGCCAGGCAGACTTTTTAGGGGGACGTCCCCTCTCTGTACCTAGGAATTTTGCAGGCAGCATTTACTGCTCCCTGTTTGTCTTGGTCCCGTCCCGGAGGCGGCTGGGTGGGAAAAAAGGAAGGTTGTCAGGGGGACTGGGTTAAAAGTGAGGATCAAGAAGTTGCCTATTCAAACAGCAGGTGCAAACGAGGCAGAAATTTTGAAGGAAGG